GTGGAGGGTTGCATTTACCCACCTCCCCTCTCCGCCAGGGCCTGAGGTTCCTCATCCCCAATATAACATCTCAAAAGGTGTCTGCTTTCCAGCGCGCTGCTCTTCCAGGATCATCTCTGATCCCCAAATAGCCTCCAGGAGCTGCAGAAGAAAACTTGGCTTAGCGTGCAAGAGGGAAAAGCCACAAATATGTCCTAATTTTACTGTAAACGATTCCTCCAGCAAAAAAAAAAAAAACAAAACACGGCCCGAAATAGTAATGTGTGACCTTTCCTGATACAGAGAACAATTTGAATTGGTCTTTTGCATTCAGGCATAGACACACAAGCCCTTGATTAACCAGGCAACCCATCTGGGGACCCAAAGCCACTGAGTCGGGTCAAAATGTTTCTTGAGCAATGCATAAGGGCTGTTGGAACAGGAGCTGGAAAAGTGGTTTACGGTTCTTTTGCAACAAAAACAAAAACACACACATGAACAATCATCTTGGACTGAGGCAACGAGGAGCTGGATATTACAGAGCCTGGTGGTAGCTATTAAAAAAAATCAAATCACATATATTTAAACAAAGCTAATAAAAACATTCAAAGCTTTCATAAAGAATGCTGTTGAGGTTCTCTCTCTCCTTCCTTTTTTAAAATATATATATATATGATGGTAAAAGCAGGCTTCACTTTTGCCCGCCTGGGAGAAAAACAAGACTAGAAAGGTTTAATAAGCGATCATCTTAAATCTAAAATAATCTCTCCCAGTATGAAACCGTATAAAACTTAAACCAGTTCTTGCTATTAAAGAGGACTTGTTTTTGTATTTCAGAATTAAACAGGCTGTTAGACCAACACACAAGCAAGCAAGCACACATATGAAAGCTAAGCTTACAAAACTGGATGTTTCTTGTTCAAAAAGAATGCTGGGATAATGGGATGGCCCATTGAGCATATAGCTCAAAGCAACACAGTCCTCCCCAAACAGCTCTGAAAGGATGGTATCCATACGGAGAGATCATGCCATCACCCAACCTCCTGTCCCACAGGAACATTAATTGCTTTTCGCTAAATCACACCATTGGCCCATCTGGACCAGAACTGCCTACACTGGCTGGCAGCAGCTCTCCAGGGTTTCAGGCAGGAGGCTCTCGTAGCCCTACCTAGAGATGCTGAGGAGAGAACCTGGACCTTCCCCATGCAAAGTAGATGTTCTGCCATGGAGGTATGGCTCTTACGACATAGGAACGTGGGAAGCTGCCTTGTATATACCAAGTCAGACCACTGACTCCATCTGGATTAGTAGTGTCTACCCTGGCTGGCAGCAGCTCTCCAGGGGTCTCTCCCAGTCCTTCACAGAGATGCCAGTGGTTGAACCAAGGACCTCTACACAAAACAGAGGCTCTACCAATTAACTATGGTGGAATGCTGTAGCAAAAGCAGGATTTTGCCCTTATTCCCTTCCCTTATGTCGGAGAGGTTTGATCTTCTTGCAGTCCATGGGACTCTCAAGAGTCTCCTCCAGCACCATAATTCAAAAGCATCAATTCTTCGGTGATCAGCCTTCTTTATGGTCCAGCTCTCACTTCCATACATCACTACTGGGAAAACCATAGCTTTAACTATACAGACCTTTGAATAAAACTAGCCTGCTGTTAAAATGCAAAATCCACATTTGTTGCTCCATCCACTTCTGCCTCTGGCCCCGCCCACTACTGGCATGTGGCCCCTGAAATGTTGCCTGGAAGGGAATGTGGCCCTTGGGTTGTAAAAAGTTCCCCACCTCCGACTCAAGAGACATGGCGTTACCTTCTCCAAAAGCACCTCTCTTTTATTTGCGGTTCGAGGGTTCGAGATAACTGCCTTCCAAATAATTGTCACTTGCCAGAAGTTGTTTATGGAAACCCACTAAACGGTTTCCTTTCTAAGATAATATTGTCAGCCAGTCTCTTGCGTGAAGAAGCAGGCTGTGGGCCATGAAATATAAATGTCTCCAGAGAATTTGAAGGACAATGTACACATTCACTAAAGTCAAGTGGCAAAGCCTTTCCTGGACTGTACCACTGGGCCTGGCCCACTGAGGAGGCCATGTGAGACACCCACCTAATGCAGTGGAAGCTGCTGGGTGAAGAGGAGGGGGGCTCTCTGGCCAGGGAACCTCCAAGGGTAATCCCAGAGGAGGAAGGCTCGGAGCCGGGGGATTGGTGGTGGGACACTGAGGAGACATCAGAGAGGGAAGATTGGGCAGAGGTGATGGATACGGAAGGGACAACAGGGTTTAATGATCAGGAGGAACCTGTGACAGGGAGCAGTTCAGACTCCGAGGCTGCAGCAGAGGAGGGGGTTAAGATACTGCTGAAGGATCCTGGGAATCTCCCTCTCCTGCTGTGACAAGCTCCCCTCCACCCTGGTCTGCAAGAACACCCAGAATAATGAGGAGAGCAGAACAGAGGTCAGAGGCGGGCAGATGCAGTTTGAGACTGCTTGGGAAACATCTGAGAGAGAAGGAGCCTTAGAAGGGGTGGAAGGCAGGGACCTTCAGTCCTGGAAACAGTTCCACAGGGGCAAGACCTACTCGGAAGTGTGGCTGAGTTGTATGCTCTTTCCTTGAATAAAGAATAAACTGACAACTGACTGCTTCTTCATGCTGACCTGATTCCAGCCCTGGCACCCAGGAAGGAAGAGCTAGGAAAGACAGTGTGGAGACCCTCCCCCTCCCAATCAGTGTAAATTGGAGTTGGGGGAACATTTCCACCCAGAAGCTACATTCCTTTCTGGGGAACATATGCTGGACATGGGCGGGGCCAGAGGCAAAAGTGGGCGGAGCAACAAATGCAAATTTTATCATTGTACAGTTGGCTAGTTTCTACACACCGCTCTCTGTCCTCCCTCCAGAGAAGCAAGAGGTGTGATCCAGCCTCGCAAAAACATTCAAGGAGGATGCAAAGCAGGGGCAGGTAGGGGTGTGGCCTGAGTAGGGGGCGTGGCTTGGGAGAGTGCCTGAGGTCAGGAGGAGAGGCCTAGGGACTTGTATTTGACTCCTGCATGTAAATGGACTAAAGTTCTGAACTCCGTACAAAGTAGCTTCTCAAGTTCCATACATGAAACAAGTCTTTGAAAGTCCAGAAAAGCCAAGGCAGATTTTTGCATGTACCTTAGGGGTGTTTTGAAGCATGACTGGTTGCATAAAATGTTTCTTTCTCTCTTTGTTTACTGCATGGCGTGCAGCCAGAAAACGAGCTTCCCACATCCTTCTTGTCTCGCTGGAAGTTATTTGAATGCAGCTTCAATTGCCATTGATTGTTTGCTCTCTTTCTGGATTGGTCTGAACCGCTGGGGGCACTTGGAGCTGCCCCTCCTGCCGTCAACACCCCATGATGGCAGTTTCCTTCCTTAAACAAACCCTCATCAAAACTTGTCCTTCAACCTCAGCACCTGCCGGGCAGGTGGCAGCGTGGGGCAGAGGGTTTGCCACGTGCAGACAAAATTGTCGATTGGATTCCGTCCCTTGAACCACCCCCAGTTTGCAGCCTTGGATTATGTCACTGAAACCGTGTGGCTGAAATTTCGATCCAAGGAGGACATCCCTCCTTTCATTCTTTTAAAAACGAAACAAGATAGCAGATCCAAAAATAATGGCCTGTTTTATATCATCAGTGCATTTTTCTGCAGGCGAGTCCCATACGTGGAGTGTTCTGCTCATTGCTCAGTGACACACTGGTCTGGTTCACAAATGGCAAGTCCAAAACTGTGGCTTACCTTGGCTGGGGAACCTTAGGACCAGGGGTCAAATGAAGCCCTTCAGGCAATTCTGTGTGGCCTGTTAATTTCTCCCCAGCCCACTCCCCTCACCAGCTTTGCTTTGCCCCTCAGATGTTTGTGCCTGACTGCAGTGTGTCCTGCAAAGCAGATCATGCTTCTTGGTTGCCTGGATGGAGAGGGTTGTGTTCAGAAAATAGTCGTCTGTACAAAGGTGTTGCTGTGCACACTTTTGCCTTTGGATCCACCCACTACTGCCATGTGGCCCTCAGAAGGCTGCCCAGGAGATAATGCGGCCCTTTGGTCTGAAAAGGGACCGCCCCAACTCTGCCTTCCTGGGACTTTGTGAATGTGTGGACTCCCAGAGAGGATCTTGGAACTGCTTTGCTCCATCCCAGTCCTTTTTCAGTGCCGCACTGAGTTCAGCCAAGGTTTGACTTGGAGTATCATCACTGAAACCAAGGCTCTGGGTTAAGCTTCCTCTTCACTAGCTACAAGCTGTAGACAAGAACATGACTGAAGAAAGCATCTGTTCACACATCACGTAGCTAGTGCAAAATGAAGCTTTGCACTGCTGCCGAAAGAATTTGATTGGCTGCCAATTAACCAACAATGTGTCGGCTCTGGTGCTCAAAGCCCAGGATGCTTGGAACCAGGATGCCTAAAATAAAATCATGCCCTCCCCCATTATATACTCAATTGATCACTGAACTGTTCAGACGAGGGCTTCCTCCAGATACTGTCTTATCAGAAGGTTTGTTCCAGAATTGGCTTTTAGTGTGTCAGCAACTCCCTCCCATTGAAGCACCATGAATGAGCCTTTGGCCCTCCAGATGTTCATGGACTACAACTCCCATCTTCCCTGATGATTGACTATGCTGGCTGGGACTGATGGGGGTTGGAGTCCTTAAATCGGCATTAGATATTAGGTGGACACTATCTTTGTTGTCTTTTCAACACCTATTGAACACCTTCCTTTTTCAGCAAGCCATTTTTCAACAAGCAGTCAGTATCTGTATTGAAACTGAAAGATGGAATTGTCTTTAATTCTCTGTATATGTGGAATTGTTTTTATTTGTTTCGTGTTGTTGGTCATTATCATTTTACTGTGAAATTGGTTCAAGATTTCTATGTGAAGTTGATTCATGACTGCAATCTCGTAACTAAGAATGTAAGAAAGGCCTTCTGGATCAGGCCAATCTGTTGCTCATCTGTTGCAGTTTGACCTAATCATGCCGCTGTTCTTTCATTTCCCAGCCATAAACACCTGTTCTATCAACAACGGTGGATGTGAGCATGACTGTGTGCAGCTCACCCTCTCACAGCATCAGTGCCAATGCCGGCCAAATTACCAGCTGAAGGAGGATGGGAAGCATTGCATTGGTGAGTCTCCCCTGCCCTTTGAGGGCTTGGATCAAACAGAGGAACATGGCAGGCCTTTCTTATACTGAGTCCTGGACCCGTGGTCCATCTAGTTCCATATTGTTCACACAGCATTTTGGACAGGAGGCATTCACAGCCCTATCGGGAGATGCCAAGGTTTGAACCTCTGACCTTCTGCTCTGCCACTGAACTATGGACCTTCCCCTAGTAAGTTCCTAGTCCTCATGATTATAAATGAAGACCTGGTTTAATAAGAACAAAGGAGCATGCCTTATACAGATCAGACCACTAGCCCATCTAGCACAACATTGTCTCTACTTGCATGCAGGGACTGTTCAAGGTTTCCAGCAGGGGACATCCCCAGCCGTACCTGGAGATGCCAATGATGGAACCTAGGACCTTCTGCATGCAAAGCAGGTGCTCTAGCCACTGGGCTACTGCCCTCTTCCCAAATGCTCCCGAGGGCTATATAATTGTCTCTAGGATCAGAGACAGGTACACCTCTGCAGACTACTTGCATGGAATTGTGTATATTTAATAAATATAAGGAATTCCACCACCACCCTAAAAAAATATTATTGTCAGGGTCAAATTTGTACAGTGGAAATGCAGTCACCAGTATCTATATATCAATTCAGTTTTTGAAAAATGGATGAATTGTTTGGAATTAAGTTGGTGTGCGTTTTCACATTTGGTGATTAATATAACACAATTACAGCCTGGGGGTGGGGGGGAGAAGAGAAATCGAGAGCAACCCAAACTGGCAGCAGATTCAGCCATCCCTGGCAGTAGCTCAGTGGTAAGAGCTTCTGATTTGCATGCAGAAGGTCCCAGGTTCAATAACCAGCATCTCCTGGTAGGGTTGGGTTCAGTCGCTCCATGATACAGCACCCGCTTTGCATGCAGTCAGCCCCGGGTCCAGGCTCCAGCATCATCAGGTAGGGCAGGGGCTGCCTGAAACCTGGGGGTGGTCCTGATGAAAACAGCAGACAGTTGTGAGTGCCGTTAGGTGTGCCACCCCCTGGGCTTGCACAGGTGTTCCAAGTGAGATCAGCTGGTCGGGAAATGGTTGCTCATTCATAATGATCACCTGGACCAGCGGTTCTCAACCTGTGGGTCCCCAGATTTGTTGGACTACAACTCCCATCATCCCTGAGCTCTGGCCCTGCTAGCTAGGGGTTGATGGGAGTTGTAGTTCAACGACATCTGGGGTCTCACGGGTTGAGAAAGGCTGGCCTGGACTGAGGCTCCCTGATTCAGGGCCGGATTTACGTTTGATGAGGCCCTAAGCTACTGAAGGTAATGGGGGCCTTTATATGCCCAGCTGTCCTTTGTCAACAACAAATTGCCGCTGTTTTTTGTGTTGAATATATGTTATATAGTAATTTATGGACCTAATAGGTATCTAAAGCCATTTGCATGTAACAAAATATGTATTTTATCAAAGTAATTGTTGAACTGAAATACAATTAAGAAGAATTATATTAATAGTGAAATACAATTAAGAAGTAGTATATTAATAGTGAAATAATTATTAAGCTTTTTTCCCCTTTAATTTTTTGGGGGGGCCTCCAAGAGAGCGGGGCCCTAAGCTATAGCTTGTTTAGCTTATATGTAAATCCGGCACTGCCCTGATTACATGGCCAGTTTGTGTTTAGAAGGGAGTGTGTAATGATGTTCTTTCAGACACCTTTTGAGGGATTGATTTGGCTTTGGAGGAAGAGGAGAAGGGAGGGAAGCGGAGCGAAATGAAATAGAATCAAGCCCAAGAGTCTCCCATACCAGGGAAGAGACAGAATTATCTCTGAGGAAGCGCTCCCCCCCGCCCTGCCCCTTTAGTCATCTCTGGTTCCAGCAGAGGAGGGGAGAAAGCCAATGATGGAGAGAGAACCAGCTGGATAATCTCAGCTGGAAGGACTCAGATAAGAGACAGAAAGGGGAGGATGCTGCTGTGCAGATTAACCTAGAACAGGAGCTCCCTGGTGGAAAGTTGAAGCTGCAGCTCTTCTGGCATCTGAGTGCTGGCTGATCCCTCATCAAAATGTACTTGAAAGGACTTGGCCCCTGGCTTCCTTTCCTGAACAACTGCATGCAGGATAAGCCATTGCCAGTGTTCTTTGGAAAGGGTGTTTGGCCGTTCCAAGAACCCGCACGGCGTAACTTCTCTTCTGCACAAGGAAGCCTCCATCCAAAGCAGTTGCACCCCACTGTTCCTCTCTCTTAAGCAGAACTATTTTGGGCAACAGCCTGTGGGTTTCTGCAGATGACCTATTTATTGAGAATAGACTCCATCCAGCTCAGTACTGACTGCACTGACTGGCAGTGGCTGTCCAAGGGGAATCTCTTCCCTGTCCTACCTGGAGATGCTCCTGTGATCTTCTGTACGTGAGGCCAAGGCTCTGCCTTGGACTGCTTCCTTTTGGACCATTTCCAACTGACTCGCTGCCTCCCTTCTCTTCCCAGTGAGAAACCCATGTGCCAACAGGAATGGAGGCTGCATGCACCGGTGTCAGAGCCGGCGTGGGGTGGCGCATTGCGAGTGCCACCCTGGATACAGGCTGGCGGCTGACAACAAAGCTTGCGAAGGTAAGGGGCGTCTCACGAGGCTCTTGCACAAGTTTTGCAGAGCTGTCCTTTTTCTCTCCTCCCCCCATGCAAATGCCTTGCTAATCTCCATAGATGCTATAATTAGTTTCTCCGTCTGGGCTGGGAGGATGATAAATGAGCCTTCAGCTGCCCTAGAAGATAAGTGCTTGCAAAAACAAAAATCCCATTTACTTTTTGCAATTAATACAGACCTTTCTAGTGTTCATGGGGGTGGGAGGGACAGCAACCAAAAAACCCTCAGCCACCAATTCTATGCTTGTCCAATATGCTCCATGCATGGGAGAGAGACTTCTGGGACAGGGGTAGCCAATGGGGTGCCCTGATAATTGTAGACTACAACTCCCATCATCCCTGACTGTTGACCCAATGGTCAGGGATGATGGGAGTTGGTGTTCAGCAACATATTGGGGGGGAGCAATGTGGTGTCCTCCTGGTGTTCCTGGATAACAGCTTCGTGCATCATCCTTGCGCATGGGCCATACTAACCTTGTACAACTGCGCTACGACTCCCATTGTTGGGGAAATACTGGGGCTGAATAACCAACACCCTGTGGGTTCAGCCTGGACAACCAATAAAATCCAGGCTCCAGTTGTCAGTCGAACAGGACGTTTATTTGGGTGTTGCAAAGTCAGTGCAACACAACCTCAGCTAGCAAGTAGTTGAGGGATGGCACCCCAAATATGAAAAAAACAAACCACAAGCATTTATACATTTATAAACAAAGAGAAGCAAAGGGGCGGTTATGACCATATATGGCAGTACTTCTGCCACCTTCTACTGGTTCAATCAGGAGGCATAACATCTTAACTTTCCTTCCTTCCTTCATCCTTAACAGTAACAGCAGTAGTTCGTGTTTTCATGTCGTTCTGTGCTTCTCTCACAAACACAACCTTCACATTCCAGCCTTTCCTTGCTCAGCCCTTCTCTGACACATTTCAACCTTTAATTTAATTATTTCCATAATTTGTACGACACCCATAATCCCTGACCATTCGCCAGGCTGGCTGGGGCTGATGGGAGCTGATGTCCAACAACATTTAGAGCTGGGGAGTCCATGGGGGGCCCTTCATAAGTTGTTGGTTGGACTACAGCTCCCCTCAACCTTGACTATTAGCCAGGCTGGCTGGGCCCTTCAGGTGTTGGGAGTCCAATGACTATTGGAGGATACCACATTGCCCACTAGAAAACTTAAGAGTGTGGCAACCAAAACAAGATGGTAAGGCATGCTCTGCATTGTAAGATCTTTGCAGCCAGAGAGAGGGTTGTTGTTGTTTAGTCGTTTTAGTCACGTTGGATTCTCCGTGACCCAATGAACCAGAGCATGCCTTGGAAACTCTCACTTTCTTCCCAAAGCTTCTTTTTTATGTCCATGGAGTTTTCTTGGCAAAATACTAGAGTGGTTTGCCAGTTCCTTTTCCAGGTGGATCACATTTAGTCTAAACTCTAAGCCTGTCTGTCTTGGGTGGCCCTGCACAGCATAGCTCATAGTTTCTCTGAGTTATTCAAACCCCTTCACCATGACAAGGCATGACAGGGAAGACAATCCATGAAGGGAAGAGATAGGGTAGCAATCGGCAAACTTTCCACCAGCACTGGGAACAACAGGATTTTAGATCTGGATAGAGAACAGCAATTAGAACAAATGAACTAACTCAGGTCCATTAATTTTCAATGGGACCACTCTGAATATCCAGAAGCATCTGACAGTGAAGGCAAAGCATACCCAACACGGCTAGTAGCCACGGATAGCCTTTATCCTCCATGAATTTATCTAATCCTCTTTTAAAGCCATCCAAGTTGGTGTCCATGGCCAGTTCCATAGTTTAACTATGTGCTGTGTGAAGAAGCAGTTTCTTTTGACTGCCCTGAGTTTCTCAACATTCAAGCTCTCTTGCTCAATGGCAGTCTTCACCATCAGCTGTTCTGCGCACATTCTCTGCAGTTCTGCTCCAATTTCATGGAACCACAGGACTGTGGAGATGGAAGGGGCCCAAAGGTTCGTCTAGTCCAGCGGTTCTCAACCTGTGGGTCCCCAGTTGTTGTTGGACTACAACTCCCATCATCCCTGAGCTCTGGCCTTGCTAGCTAGGGTTGATGGGAGTTGTAGTTCAACAACGTCTGGGGACCCACAGGTTGAGAAAGGCTGGTCTAGTCCCACCCCCTGCAAGCTGGCAATTATGTACGGGATCTAAATAGCTTATCTTCATAAAATAGCTTGCTTCTGCTTTCTTCCGTCCAGATATCGATGAATGCGTAGCAGGGATAGCCATGTGTGTGCATGGTTGTCTGAACACCCGCGGCTCCTTTAAATGCACTTGCAATCCAGGCTATGAGTTGGGGGCTGACGGCAAGCAGTGTTACCGTAAGTATCCATCTCCATAGAATCACAGAACCATAGAGTTGGAAGGGACCCCAAGGGTCATCGAGTGCAACCCCATGTTCTTCCCTCTGATGAAATTGCAAGAGAGGAAGATGCTGAGATAAGGCTTTCCTTGGGCGAGTTATGGAGTCTTTTGGTGGGGCCACATAGCCCACATCAAACATCACTTCACATAAGCTTGTTCCAGATCCAGTGCTGTTTTTCTAGAAAAAGAGGTGCAGGAACTTGCTACGAATGCCTCCCTTGTTCTCTTATAATGGCAATGGTGCCCACCTGGGAGGCGCCGGAACTGAATTCCAGTGAGTTCCGGTTGGGAAAAAAAGCCCCAAATCCCTTTTGGGGCTCTGTTAATCCCTGAAATAACATATACAGTACCGTGATTAATAAAACAAGAGATATAAGTTCTCTTGCAATATGTTTTGACTTCCACCTTTGCATTTTAGTCCAGGTAACCCTTGTTTAAACCTGTATTTAGATACCCAGTTGTTTCATATGTGTTTTTATTGTGTTGGGGAATTGCTGCAAGAATCAAAATGCTTCATAGGAAGCAATTCATAAAATAAATCAGAATAGCAATAAGAGTGAAATATCAAGGGGCAGTGTAGGCATGTGAATTTCAGAATTCGCATTTCAGATCATCTTCTTTTTTAAAAAACAAACAAACACCCTCTTAAATTTTGAATGTGTGCAAACTGTTTTACTGAAACGTTGATTTCATGCAAATGTCTGCTTCCTCTTGGCCATGGGTCAATAGATGACTCTGTAGGAAACCAGTCAATAGTGTATCTCTTCTTCCTCCTCCTCCTCTTCTTCTTGCTTTTCTAGGTATAGAAATGGAAATTGTGAACAGCTGCGAGACCAGCAATGGAGGCTGTTCTCACCTTTGCCACCACACCAGCAGTGGTCCTGTCTGCAGCTGCAACTCAGGATACCAGCTGGACGAAGACAAGAAGACTTGCATTGGTAATCCAATAACCTGAGCTGGTATTTTGTTAAGTGAAGAAGAAAACTATGATGAGCATATAAGAGGCAAGGTGCCTTCCAGTCTCTGCTGACCTACAGCTCCCATCATCCCTGACCAGTGGCCATGCTGGCTGGAGCCGATGGGAGTTGGCATCCAGCACCGTCTGCAGGGCCACAGGCTTCCCCATCTCTGACCTAAGAGGCACCCCTCACTCTCAGCTGGGAAAGCCTCTTCGAAATAGAGACATCCCTCCATCTCTCATATGCAGTAAGCAGTGCTGTTACTTAAAGCATGGATGAGGAACCTATGACTCTCCCGATGTTGTCAGACTACAGTACTCATCATCCTTGACCACTGGCTATGCTGTATGGAGGTTTGCCTTGAGAAGCATCTAAGGGGCTCCCCATTGCTGTTGACAGATGACTGGTTACCTACTTCCAGGCTTCCACATTTTTCACCCGCTGAGATCACCGGGCTGAATGTTCTGCTGCCTTTCTCAGAAGACTGCTGAACCCCAGGCTTCCTCCCAACCCTTGAGTTGCAGAGGATGTTGGGGGAATCATCCTAGAAGTTGTGTGGTGGTCCATGTCAATTCTTTTTTCCTAGAAAAAACAGTGGGGGTACTCACCACAAAGTTGTTTGTTTATTGCGGGCTCAGTTGCAATGACACACAAACACACACCAGGCAGTGACTAAATGTAAGATGTGATTAAGCAGACAACGTTCTGGATTAGAAATGGCCACAACTTTATTGATTACAGATATAGGTGGGGTTTTGGCTCAGGCATTGGGTGTAGATCCGTTCCAGCCTCCCCCCCCCCCCGGCCACCTGACCATAATAATAACAATAATAACAGTAATAACAACAATAACAATGTAGTAAGGGACCTCAGTTCCCCCAAGTTTCTGCTAAAAACAACAACAAGCCTCTGATCCCTGAACTCCTGTTTTGGAAAGGGCTCTTTGGCCATTGGTTGGTCTAGGTAACCAGAGCACACAAACCAACCAGGGTATGGAGGCAACCATATGGGTTATTTTGGTCTGGCTGCTAAAGGCAGCCAAATAAATGGTGGACCCCTGCATGATACCCTCCATTTTAGGGGTATGGCCTTGAGCGAGCAAGACACACATGTGGAGAAAGCACGGGTCACCTGCCCAATGGAACCCAGGGTGGATCTTTGGCCCATCAGGGATGTCTCTCCCTGAACTACCCCACCTGACCAGGACCCTGGGGAACACCTTCTTGGTATACCTGGAAGCTTGCGAGGTAAGGATAGGGAACATTTTCCAGCCCAGGGTCCACATTTCCTTCTTTGCAACCTTCTGAGGGTCACATGCCAGGGACAGGTATGGCCAGAGGCAAATATAGGTGGGGCAATGCATCTAAATGTTACCTTCATGAAGCCAGTTTCTACACATGCATGTTCACCCTTCTCTATCCATCCAGACAAGCGAGAAGCATATATATTGCACTTTATCATAATGAACCAGGCCACTGGTCCATCTGGCCCAATTCTACCCGCCATCACTTCTCCAAGATTTTAGGCAGGGATTTTTCCAAACCCAACTTCCTGAGATTCTTTTAACGGGAGGTGCCAGCAGTTGAACTTCTGCTCCTTCACTGCCAATGGACATCTGAAGCTCTCTTAGACTGAGCCAGGCCATCTAGCTAGGCATTGTCAGCACAGACTCCATGTTTTCAGAGAGGAGACTTTTCTAGCCCTGCTTGGAAACGTCAGGGATTGAACCTGAGACCTTCTGCGTGCTCGGCAGGTGCTAATACCACAGGCCCTGGGAGACCTGGCTTCCTTTGCCTTCCCCTCCATCAACAACACTAGAAGAATTACTGACAATAACAAGGTCTCCATCTCCAAGCAAGCTGCCAAAAACTCAGCGTTCCGTCAAGTTGTAGGTTGCCTGCTGGACAAAGGCGTGTGCGTAGGTGTTTGTGTGTGTGTGAATGCCATGATCTCAAATGTCTGCATTTCATTTTATATCACGCCGTGCTGAGTCCCAGTCTGGCAATTAACCTAATCAGAAACTCTCTGCAGATCTTACCAGCCAGGCATTTCCTGGATAGGGAACTGGCTCTGCCTGTGTCTAAATGTTTATGCACCGGATGCATCTGAGCTGCGCGTGCGGAGCGTAGGTCTGTCTGGGTCAGTGCCCCAAGCATCCAGGGGGATCTTCAGAGGATCATTAAGTGCAATTTCGCCTGCATCCTTTCTGCATTGAGGTTGTAGTTGCTGTCCCCCTGCCCCCCATGGGGATTTTCTCAGCTTTCCCATGTCCAGGGGCAATTACTCTGGATGATTCTATTAAATTTCTTAGCGCTGAGGGTGTGTGACGGGCAAGGAAGATTTAGTAGGGCCTGGAATACTGTTTGCACTTTCATTTCAAGCCCGTGTAATTGGTAGACAGTATCTATGGGCAACCTCAGACTTGTATAATAATAATTTATTATTTATAATAATGGGTTTCCCCAGCCAGTCTGGGCAGCTAGCAACAGAATATTAAAAACATGGTAAAACATCAAACGTTCAAAACTTCCCTAAGCAGGGCTGCCTTCAGATGTCTTCTAAAAGTCAGATAGTTGTTTACTTCCTTGACATCTGGTAGGAGGGCATTCCACAGGGCGGGTGCCACTACCGAGAAGGCCCTCTGCCTGGTTCCCTGTAACCTCACTTTTCGCAGGGAGGGAAGCACCAGAAGGCCCTCAGAGCTAGACCTCAATGTCTGGGCTGAACGATGGGAGTGGAGACGCTCCTTCAGGTATACTGGGCCAATCTGGTTTGAGGTCTGATTCAGCATGTTGGATTGGGCCAGATCTGACCTGGGATAACCCGGCCCTGGCGCAATCCAGGCCCTGAACTGAATGGGGGCGGGCCATGCACAGCCCTAAACTTAATTAGGGTTTAAAACCCCAATTAAACATGCAATCAAGGCAATGGTAGCCGGGAGAGAAGGCCCAAGTAGAGATTCTCACTTGCACCTCTTTCTCTCTCCCCTCCCCACTTTCCCCTCCCTAATTTTGGGAAGTGCTGTAGCTCCCCAAGAGAAAATCTGCCTTGCATGCAGAAGGTCTCCAATCCCCAGGCTCTCCAGATGGGGCTGGGATTGCCCCCCATCTAAAACCCTGGAGAGCTACTGCCAGTCAGTGTAGACACTACTAAACCAGATTCCCCCTTCCCCCACAATATATGCATTTTTGTACATGTCGGTCAGAGAACTGCAGGACAGCTGGCTTTCAGTTTGAGAGGTAGGAACTGGGAAGATTCCCGTTGAAATGCCAGCAGAGCCCAATGCCTCCCCCGTTTCTGTCTTGGGGGGAGGGCCCGGTAAACCTGCTTCTCCTTCACAGGGCCCTTCGCAGGGTTGATGCGGACTGACAACTGTTTCTCTTTTGACCAGATACAGACGAGTGCGGCGCTCGTTCTCATTGCTGCCACCAGGACTGCTACAACTACCCAGGGGGTTACGAGTGCGTTTGCTTCGCTGGATACAGGCTGAACGCTGACGGCTGCAGCTGCGATGGTAGGGAGGTGCTATGCACTCAGTGGGACTCAAAAAATAGTTTGGCGTTGCACCCTTCCATTCGTTTTCAGCTCCTTCTCAAAGGTCCACATGCTGTGTGTGTGTGTGTGTGTGTGTGTGTGTGTGAGCGTGCATCTGGGGATGGAGGCATCCATCAGTTTCCCAGTCTTACTTAAGTCTGGTTCATCTTATTGACCTGCAGTTCAGAGAAGGGGAAACACAAATGATCAAGGGGGTGGAGCGAAAGGTGGCGGCGCTTGGGACTTTGCAGCTTAGAGGAAAGGGAGAGTGAGCAAGGCGACAGGTCAGAAGTCTTTTAGAATGTACGCATGGAGAAAGTGGATAAAGAAAAGTTTTCCTCCACATCTCTCATCGCACAAGAACTTGTGGGCATCCGATGAAGCCGAGTGTTGAAAGTTTCAGGCTGGATAAAAGAAAATAATCCATATTGTGCACAGTTAAAACTATGGAGCTTGCTCGCACAGGAGGCAGTGACAGCCACCAGAATGGATGGCTTTAAATGAGGGCTAGACAAATTCGTGGAGGCTATTGATAGCTACTAGCCATGAAGGCTGTGCTTTGCCTCCAGTTATGCTTCTGAATCCCAGTTGCTGGAAACCACAGGAGGAGAGAGGGCTCTTGTGCTCGGGTCCATTCAGCTTTTGGGCTTCCCATTGGGTTGGTCATTGTGAGAACAGGATGCCGGACTAGATGGGCCATTGGCCTAGTCCAGCCATGTTGTTAGATTCTTACATTCTGAAGATTTGTAGCTCAAAATTAAAACTAAAAATAAATAAATGCCTCTTTTAATTTTTAAGATGTGGACGAGTGCTCTTCAAATAATGGTGGATGTGAACACCTCTGCCAGAACCTGGTGGGGTCTTTCCATTGCAGCTGTCAGATTGGCTACAAGCTCGATGAAGACCGAAGGAGCTGTCTCTGTAAGTGACTTCTTCATCTTTCCACCCGTTTCATTCTTCTTCTTCTTCTTCTTCTTCTTCTTCTTCTTCTTCTTCTCCTCCTCCTCCTCCTCCTCCTCCTCCTCCTCCTCCTCCTCCTCCTTCTCAACACTGGAGGCATTTTACTTCTTTAGATTGAGAGCCCACCCAATCTGAAAGGCTTTGTGCACATGGTACTGGAAACATCAGGAACCAACAAAACAAAACAAAACAAAAAAGTTCCTTGGAGCAAATCAACAAAGAAATTAAAAGCCAACACAACACAGTGGCTCTTCATTATACCTACTTATATTTGTTTATTTATTACATTTTATTTCCATCCTACCTTCCTCTAAGAAACCCAGTTCTGCCCCCTTCTCATTTAGTTCCCAATTTTATCCTCCTCCTTGGAGGAGATGATAGGAGCTGAACTGAGAACATTCTGCCACTGCACAGGAGCCCTTTTCAACCTAAGGGCAACACTCCCTTCTAGGCAACTTTCTGGGGGCCGTATTCCCAAAGTGAGCCAGGGCCAGAGGCAAAAGCGTGTGGAGCGCTGAATGCCAATTTTACCTTCAGACGGCAGGATAGTTCCTATGCGTACTTGCACTCCCCCAAACTCTGTCCTCCATCCAGGCATTATCCAGAGGGCCAAATAAAGTGGTCCTCTGCCCTGATCTAAAGCGCATGCTCTATGATTAGCGACCCTTCTCAAAAAATGTAATGCGTGAAGAAGGGTCCACATGCGGAAGGTGTGTGTCATTTTGGAAAAGGGCATTTAGATTCTTTGCAACATAAAACAATATAGACCATTGTACACTGCTCAGCCCCCATAATGGGTTTATTTCTTTTGGTGATTGATCAGACCATTTTTCTGGGTCCTTGGCATTCCTTAAATGTCCTTGGCGTGGTTTGCTTTTTCTCTGCAGTGCTTGATGAACCCGTGGAGGCCCTGGATAGCAGGCGTCCCATCTTCCGCCCGCTCCCCCACGTGGCGGTCCTGCGAGATGAGCTCACCCAGCTATTTGATGAAGACTACCTTGATGAGGAGGAGGAGGCGGAAGCAAGAGGAGAGCACACGCTGTCTGAGAAATTCAGTAAGCACACATGGGACCCGCAGCAAAACATTGCACTGTGTCCTCCTCCCTAAAATGAGCGCTCCTGTTCAGGGTTGCGGCTGGGCAGCTAGGCATGCCCTTTTCCCAGGTAGTCCATTCCATTATTCATTTCCCTGGTTTTCTCTTCCTCCATCAAAACACACACCAGCAACAATCACTATTCCACAGAACATACGTACTTTTGGTTTCTGTTGTGTGACAAATGTGTATGCCCTGCAAGTTTACCTACTCAGATTTCATTCTATAGGGTCTACAGCTTGCAAACTCCCAAGTTCGTTACTGAACGCTTCCCTTTCTTGTGATTATCCTGCGGGAGAACCATAAAAAAATCATGCAAAGTTAGACATTCAGATATATTTTATTTATCCTGAACATATTGCACTCCAGTACTGGGAGAAGTGAATTCAGTCTTTGTGATTTCCAGCACAAAATGACCTGATTTGCTAAACTGTGGTTTGGAACTTAGCTATCCACACCAGCTTCTGTGCATTGCTGAATCTTACAATGCAGCTGTTTAAATGAATCAAACGATCCGTTTACATCATTATTCCGGACAAGAGCATTGGTCCGTGTTGTTTACACGGACTAGCAGTGGTTCTCCAGGGTTGCAGACAGGACTTTCCCCCCAGTCCTACCTGGAGGTCCCAGGGATTGAACCTGGGACCTGGGACACTAAGCACCGAGCTAGGAGCCTCCCCCAGTTAGCCCTCATAAAAGTATTGCGCTACTGTTGCCTCTTGGTTCAAGGTTGAGCTCCGTAACAGTTTACCTTTCTTGCAGTCTGCTTGGACGACACCTTCGGCCACGACTGCAGCCTGACGTGTGACGATTGCCAAAACGGAGGGGCGTGCAATGAGGACCGGACAGGCTGCAACTGTCCTGCTGGCTGGAGCGGGATCCTCTGCAACCAAAGTGAGTCGGGAAGGCGATGGCCCAGCAAACGATGGGGCCACCTTTTATGACCTGTCAAAGTGTTTCCTTCCTAGAGGCCATTAAAAGTGAAGAGCGTCAGGGCAGTGGTGAGCCAGCTGGCTTGGAATAGCACCAAAGGCCTGCATTTTATCATGTTTACCTTGGACTAGAGTTACCCGGCAAAAGTTGCGCGGAGGCCGTTGCTGCTATCTGCCCCTTGAGATCCCCGTCTGCAGTCCAGGCATTTTTGTGTGCCTTGGATCTGAGTGTTTGCACTCAGACAGCAGCTATAAACCTATCGGCGGTGAATTAGAAGCACGGCTGGCTTTTGAAAGGCTAATGAACTCTTTATATGACACCAGTGAGAGCCTTTGGGGATTCTGTCTCCCAGCACAGTGTCTGGCCGCTCTGGAAAAACAGAGACCACCACTCCCCACTACCGCCACCTCCCTCAAGGGGCCAATTGAGTCTGTAGGCAGAATTGAGTCATGCCTGCACCTTCCCTGCCCAGTCACCTGCCACCAAATGAACTGATGCCTATCTTAGAAGAAGGTCTTCTTTTTTTACCTTTGGCTTTTGCGAGAAAGCCAAAGGCCCACCCGGCAGTTAACCACATGCCTACAGGCAATTTGCAAGCAGGACCTGAGTGCAGCAGCACTCTTGCCACTTGTGATTCCCAGCAACTGAGAGGCATACATACCTCTGATGGTGGAGGGAAAGCATAGGGCTTTTATATGCCTCCCCCTGATCTGATTTTAAGACCCAGGCTGGTGCTTTGGAGCAGCTCCATTGCGACCCAGGATGAATCCCTGCTTTGCAGGGGGTTGGGCCAGATGGCCCTTGATGGCCCTTGCAACTCTACAAGTCCATGGGTCTATGTGGTCAGGAAGGGAGGTGCCTCTCCTTTGCCCATCCTTTTAACAGCCCTGGATCATTCTGGGTGAACTCGATCTCAACAGAGGGATCCAGGGTTGCCTCAACCGGTTTTGTCTAAATCCTGGGTTGGACCCAAATCAATCTGATTCAGTGTGGGATCCAGCATTTGATTGAAGCATATCCCTGAAACATAGCCATTGTGGCTGGTAGCCAGCAACAGACTTACCTTTCACGAATCTATCTAATTCTTAATAATAATAATAATAATAATAACAACAACAACAATAATAATAATGATAATAATATTTATTTATACCCCACCCTCCTTGGCCAGAGCCGGGCTCAGGGCTGCTAACACCAATAAAATTTCAGTAAAAACATAATAAGGGGAAAAAATAAAAATAAAAAATAAAATACAGGTTAAAATGCAGCCTCATTTTAAAAGTCAAAACCATAAGGGGAGGGAAACAAAAGGGTCAGACTGAGTCCAAACCAAAGGCCAGGCGGAACAGCTCCGTCTTGCAGGCCCTGCAGAAAGATGTCAAGTCCCGCAGGGCCCTAGTCTTTTGTGACAGAGCATTCCACCAAGTTGGGGCCAGTACTGAAAAGGCCCTGGTCCTAGTTGAGACCAACCTAACCACCTTGTGACTTGGGACCTCCAAAATGTTGTCATTTGTGGACCTTAAGGTCCTCCGTGGGGCATACCAGGAGAGGCGGTCCCGTAGGTACGTGGGTCCTAGGCCGCATAGAGATTTAAAGGTTTTGAGGTCCTCCACTGTTTCCACTGGCGTGCCCCATCTGTTTCTAGCATCTCATGGGCCCTCTCTGCCTGTCTCCCTCTCACAGCCTGCCCAGAAGGTACCTTTGGAAGGAACTGCAGCTCCACTTGCCTCTGCCAAAATGGAGGCACCTGCAACCCAGTGACGGGAGCCTGCCGCTGCCCACCTGGAGTCAGTGGGGAACTGTGTGAAGATGGTAAGGCTCAGACCTCTTTTCTGCTCTCCTGCTATGAGTTGGAAAGTGAGTGTTCAGGTTTGCAAACGTTACGGTTATACCTCGGGTTGAATGCGCTTTGGTTTGAGCACGTTCGAGTTGCGCTCTGCGGCAACCCGGAAGTAACGGAGTGCTTTACTTCCGGGTTTCACCACTTGCGCATGTGCAGACACTCAAAATGACGTCACGCGCATGCGCAGAAGCGGCGAAAAGTGACGCATGCATGTGCAGATGTGCCATCGCTAGTTAACATTTGCTTCTAGATGCAAACGGAACGGATCTTGCTCGTATCTAGAGGCACCACTGTATTTGGAACCCGAATGTTCAACACGGCTTCCGCAGGTTCTGATTGGCTGCAGGAGCTTCCTGCAGCAAATCAGAAGCCGCACCTTGGTTTCTGAACATTTTGGAAGTCAAACGGACTTCCAGAACAGATTCTGTTCGACTTCCGAGGTACTACTGTATTATTATCATTTATTGAATTTATATACCTCCCTATACCTGGAGGTCTCAGAGCAGTTTACAAAATGAAATCAAGATATAGAACCACAAAATACACAATAAAAATAAAAACAATAACCCTCCCAAGTGCTGGGATACCCCTTTAAACAGTCACACACACACACACACACACACACACACCCCGAATTATGGGGGCTGTAATTGGATAAAGGTGCTGAGAGTTTTTAAAAGATCTGGTTTTGGTAATCTATCTGCTGGTATGATTTGTGAAGGCTTCTGAGAGTTACAGGTCCTCACAGAGCTACAATTCCCAGAGTTTCCTGTGAAAAGGGATTGATGGTTAAATCGCTCTGGGAACCGTAGCTCTGGGAGGGAAATAGGGGGTCTCCTAACAACTTTCAGCACCCTTAACAAACTACATCCCCATGAATTTTGGGGGGAAGCCCTGACTGTTTAAAGAGTTATCAAAGTTCTTTCAATGCATGATGTGAATCTGGCCTCAGCCTCCTCTAGTAGGAAAGGCTTGGAACCGTACGAGGTGGGATGGATATACCTGCCAATTGCTATTTCTCTCTGTTTCTCATTTTTCCCCCTGGTCTTAAGTTGATCTCTCCACATTTCTGCATGAGTTTCTGATATACATTTTTAAAGTCCTCATGAACATTTTAATGCAATTCAATGCAATGCACCCCCTCTGGTTCCACTTATGTATCGCCTCCCGTAAAACATCTGAAAATGATTTCATGCCAGTAATGAAAATATTACACAACTTCATTTATAAGAACAATTAAAACTAACAATTAAAAACAGTTTTCACAAGGAGAGAACAATTTCAAATCAGGTCCGGGTACAGACTGGGATAAAGGCCTTTGTTTCAAAAGGCTTGTTGAAAAGGAAGGACTTCGGCAGGCCTCCAGCTGCATTTTTGTCATTCCCTAATGTAATGCATATTTATTTTCATTCTCGTATGCAGCTTCAAGCACACTTCCCCTAATAGGCACATTTTGCATCCATGTTTTGTTTGGGGAACTGAATTGCAAAATTCAGAAAAGTCTGAACTTTTGAAGGCTAGTTTAGTTACGCTGTGCATCTCGTTTCAGAAAATCTGGACTAGGAGTTAGCATATAGAGTCCTTCCTCGCTGGGACTACAAAGTATTCAGGCTGAGACTTGGTATAAAATAAGAATGCTAATGTCTATTAAAGAAAGTGCATTCTTTGTAAGACAGAGTTCTATAGCCCTAGCTAACTACCTAGTTAAAGAAACAAATCAGCCATGCTTGTACCTTTGTTCTCAAACGATAGATCCAAGATTACCTCTTGCCTTGAGGTCCAGAAAACGTGTGTAAGGAGGAGGAGTAAGTTGTAAACAGGATGCAACCCAAGACTTATCAGTCTAAACATGAAGGATACAGAGAGAAGTCAGCATAGAGTTAAAGGTACAGGAATAGTCTAGGAATCTGGAGGTCTGCTACTCTATTGGTCTAAACCCCTTTCAGCAAACTGAGTTGCACCCGAACTTCCAACATTAAAAATCCAAATCAAATTTCATTCCCATTCCCTGAATGTGGCAGATGCTTTGATGTGCTCGTAGTTGCTTTGGAAATTTCTAAAACTAAAAAGCAATCTATAAATCTTGTAAACAGCAGAATGCTATAGCCATGTTTTTTTGATAAATAAAAATTCAAAACAGGGTGCGACAAACTCCCTAAGTGAATATGGGAGGTGAGGCAACGTGACTGAAACTAGGGAGATATAGACTTGGGCCCATCCTGTATAAATCAGATAAGAATTCAGGGTTCTCTATAAGTGACTATTGATCGGCAACAAGGACTCTTAATGTTAGGGTTCCTAAGGCAACTTATTCCCAGTTCTGGATATCAATTTAAGCTGATTGGAAACAAAACTGGACTTTAGTTAATCATACACTTAGTGAGAAATGATGCTTAATGGTTTCATTAGTAAAAGCACAATATTAATCAGTCGTAAATGCTGTTACAGGTTTAAATGAAAACTTTACTGATGAGTCTATTGCACAAAGCTACTTCTGTAGAATAGCTATCTGCCTTACAATGCCAGTAAAACAACTCTAGTTTTTTTCTAGGACCTTTTCCTCTACCTGATGAATTTACCAGGTTTATTGTACTAGACAAACTCCTAAGCCCCTTAGCGACTTCCCTAAATTGTCAAAACCAACTTTTCCCATCCTCTCTCCCTCGTGATCTTACGTTTCCCACTGCAGCCATGATTGGTTAAGGGTCGTCAGGAGGTTGATCAAATGTTCTGTCCATCCTGTTAAGAGGTGAGAATGCACTACAATATTTAGGGGCATCCATTATCAGGACGATATAGCGATTACCATCAACTACATGAGCACTGCAGATGGTGACAGCAGCCACAAAATTAAAAGACGCCTGCTTCTTGGGAGAAAAGCAATGACAAACCTAGACAGCATCTTAAAAAGCAGAGACATCACCTTGCCAACAAAGGTCCGTATAGTAAAAGCTGTGGTCAAACCTATCCATTCTTAAGGAAATCAGCCCTGAGTGCTCACTGGAAGGACAGATCCTGAAGCTGAGGCTCCAATACTTTGGCCACCTCATGGGAAGAGAAGACTCCCTGGAAAAGACCCTGATGTTGGGAAAGACTGAGGGCACAAGGAGAAGGGGACGACCGAGGACGAGATGGTTGGACAGTGTTCTCGAAGCTACCAGCATGAGTTTGACCAAACTGCGGGAGGCAGTGGAAGACAGGAGTGCCTGCTCTGGTCCATGGGGTCACGAAGAGTCGGACACGACTAAACGACTAAACAACAACAACAAACAGTTTCACATTGTAACTCGCATTTCCAGGCCCTTTGTCTCTGATGGTCCCTCATTTTCACTCTATGGGTACCTTGAATTTTCTGCAGCAAACACATAGCGTCAACAAACACACGTCCTTAAGCAGCTGTGACCATTCATCAGGGCTCCTAGATAGGTGTGCATGGATGCTCAAGGATGTACAAAAACACTTCCTTGTGGAATGTATGGGAATGACACCTATGCATGATTGTGAGATAAAATACGAATGCTGCTTTCAATGGAGAGAACAGAGATTGAGAGCCATAGGGACTACAGTGTTCCTAAGGCCACCAAAGGCATTTTCATGACTGAGTAGCAATTGTCACCCAGGTCTCTTTGATCCCGATCCCCCACTTTTGTCACACAATGCCACATACTGTATTTTTCCCCACCCTGGAGGTTATTTAAGGGGGGGGGGAGACGGATGTTTTGTCCAAAGCTAAGAAACAAAAATGAAATCCATTAACATGACCTCACAGCAATAGTTAGGAACATATGGAAGCAATTTACTAGGAAAGGCAACTCAAGTAGAGGAGGAATGAGTCCAAGAGGCACCTGATACTGCATTAATTTCCCTCGCTCCATGCAAGAAAGATGTGCAGCCATTTTTGGCATTGAGGGTAATAAGATAAGACTAAGCAAGAAGGTGTAAACAAAATTAAAAATCGGTCTGATGTCCCAGAGGGTCCTCTGACATCAGCAGCAAATGGAAAGGACTTGCTTTGAGCTGTCTTTAGTGACTGGGACGCTAAAGCATCAAGGATTTAGCCCAGCCTTTCTTAGCCTTGGGTCCCCAGATGTTCTTGAACTACATATCCCATCATCCATGAGCACTGGCCAGGAATGATGGGAATTGTAGTTCAACCACAGCTGGGGACCCGAGTTTGAGAAAGAGGGTAGCCTACATCAGCCTATCATTCTGCTTTGACCATCTTCATTTGTTTGTTTGGTTCCAGGCTGCCCCAAAGGATTTTTCGGGAAGCATTGCAGGAAGAAATGCAACTGTGCCAACAGAGGGCACTGCCACCGAATCTACGGGGCCTGCCTGTGCGACCCAGGCCTTTATGGGCGATATTGTCATTTAGGTAATCAGCTGGGCAACTTGTTCGCCTGGGGACGTTGAGAGGGCTCTTGGGGTCCCCCCAATAAGTGTATTTCCCCTCCCCAAGTCCATTTACCTTTTTTTTCTTGATTCTCTCCCCTCTGCCTCCCCACTCCCATTCTATGTTAGCTTGTCCAAAGTGGGCCTACGGCACAGGCTGCTCCGAAGAATGCCGGTGCACACAAGCAAACAGCCTGGAGTGCGACAAAAAGGACGGTGCTTGCGTGTGCAAACCTGGCTACTCCGGTGACAGATGCCAGAAAAGTGAGTTGCTTTTGTACAGTGGGTGTCAGGTACTCAGGTTCTTATAGGGGACACTTAGGAAGCTGCCTTCTGCAAAGTCAGAATATTGGTGCACCTAGCTCAGTGTTGTCCACACTGACCGGCAGCCGCTCTCCTGGGTTTCAGACAAGGCATCTGTCCCAGCTCAACTTGTGGAGACCATTTGCAGGCTCTACACCACTCTGCTATGACCCTTCCACTGTACTACAACACCCATTATCCAGGGCAGCTTAGCCAATGGTCATGGATGATGGGCATTGTAGTCCATCCACATCTAGGGGCCCAGGGATGAAGGATACTGACTGTCTATTCTGACCGGTGTTGGATCTGTATTTTTCTTTCAGTGCAGCCCCCCTAACCTGTGGGGTCCCCCGACGTTGTACTCCAGCTCCCATCAGCCCCAGCCTCAAGAGGATCCAAGGTTGGGGAGGACTATTTTAGTGGGGCATCTCATGGATTAAACCCCAGGAACTTTTTGCATGCCAAGGCTGTTGTTGCCCACCTGTCAGCTGCCCCCTCTCTCCTCACTGTCCAGCCTGGGATTAAATGCTTGCTGTTGCTATCGCCCTTCTCAGAATGTGATCCAGGCTATTACGGCGCCAGGTGCAGAAGCAAGTGCGATTGCCCCTCTGGTTCGCCCTGTGACCATGTCAGCGGAGAGTGTCAGAAGCAGTGCGCAGCAGGCTACCACGGGGAGAACTGCAGCCAGGGTAAGATCTGCTTTGGGGTGTACATAGGAAGAGCCTGCTGGATCAGGCCAATGGCCCATCTCATCCGGCACCCAGTTCACACAGTGGCCTGTGGTGGACCAGCAAGCGGGAATCGAGCATGAGAGACCTCTCCTCTTGCGTTTCCCAGGTGCCATCATTGCCTGTAGGCAAGCGACAACCTTGTTGCACAGGTGGGGAACCTGAAGCCCAGATGCGGCCCTCCATAACTTTCTCATTGGCCTTTGGCACTCTCCCCAGGCCACACCCCTTCTTCTTAGGTCACACCCCTCTACAATGCTGCCTTGAGTGTGTTTCTGCCTGGCTGGAATGTTTAATGACCATCCAATAATGCCTTTTAGGAGCGGGTGGCGCTGTGGTCTAAACCACTGAACCTCTTGGGCTTGCCGATCGGAAGGTTGGTGGTTCAAATCCCCATGGCAGGGTGAGCTCCCGTTGCCCTGTCCCAGCTCCTACCAACCTAGCAGTTCAAAAGCACACCACTGCAAGTAGATAAATAGGTACCACTATGGTGGCTCGCCAGATGCAGCTTGTCACGCTGGCCACGTGACCCGGAAGTGTCTGCGGACAGCGCTGGCCCCCAGCCTATAGAGTGAGATGGGTGCACAACCCTAGAGTCTGGCAAGACTGGCCCGTACGGGCAGGGGTACCTTTACCTTTACCTATGGTGGGAAGGTAAACAGCGTTTCCGTGTGCTCCGGTTTCCGTCATGGTGTCCTGTTGCGCCAGAAGCGGTTTTAGTCATGCTGGCCACATGGCCCAGAAAGCTGTCTGTGGACAAACGCTGGCTCCCTCAGCCTGAAAGCGAGATGAACCCCATAGTCGCCTTTGACTGGACTTAACCATCTAGGGATCCTTTACCTTTTACCTTTTAAAAATGTCTTTTACTTCCCTGGAAAGAGGGTAGTATGGGCTGTGTGAGTGTGCTTGGAAATCAGCCTGTTGTACACGGACAAAATTTGCATTAATTCCTCTGTCCACTGGCATGAAAAACCTCCCTACTCCTTTACTAGACTTCTTTTTCTTCAGGGTGTGTCTCTAGTTATAGACTCTGAGAGGGCTCATCTACCTTTCTAGAGTTTTAAATAAAAAGAGAGCGCTGTGATTCCTGCATTTCAGGGGATTAGACAGGATGACCCTTGAGGACCCCTTGCAACTGTACAAATCTATGATTCATCAAGCTGATTTATTTAAAGTATTTGCATTTTATGGAATAAATAAATAAGTAGTGTGTGTTCTTTTAATTGGGCAACACCGATATCTGAGCATTCGTTTCATTTCCTTCTCCTTTTGGATCTCAGCCTATGCCTGATCAAAGCTTTGAGTTTTTGTTTTGCAGAGAATATGTCTTAGTCCTCCAGGAGGAATCTCACTTTTCAGTCACAGAGAAAGCAGGAATCCTTGCTAAGATCTGCCTGGATCACAAGCGCTATGTTGCAGCAATTTGGGCTGATTGGGGTAGGGGGGTAGGCAGTGGTATATAATGATGGACCCGGGTGGCTTGAGAGCAACACAAGCAGCTTGGTGGAAATTTCAGGCCCCCGAGGAAGGAGGGACAGGAAATAACGTAAAATTTTTTAATGGCAATATTGAGCTCTGGACTTCGATACAAAATCTGGAAGCTATTAAAAGGGAAGAGGAACATCTGTCACCTATTAGCTTAGAGGAAAGAATGCACAAAATTGATGCGGTTGTTGCTTTAGATCCTTAAATTTCTCTCTCTCTGTGTGTGTGTGTGTGTCCACCAATTCCTGCCCCCAATGAACTTTTTTGATTGTGTGTTTGCAGCTCAGGGCTTGCATCTGTGCAAGACCTGCCCCAATGTAAATAAGCGCCTCGCCTTTGCACATCCACCAGGCTCCTCCTGTAGTTTAGATCATTTTATTTATTCGTTGGTTATTTAAATTGTTTTGTGCTGCATCCAACCAAGGCCTACTCAAAGGGGGATCCGCTGGATGGGATTCGGCATAAGGCAATAGTTCTGTCTGCATAAACCTTTCTGCTTGCCTGACAGAACAGTGTCCACTCTCGTCTTCCTCTCCCATGCACTGTTCTGCAGTGGATGACCCTCCAAGGCAGATTTGGGAAGGAGAGGAGTCCCGTTGTGCTAGCACAACAACTTAATTGAATCTGGCCTGGTTAATTGATATCAATTAACCATTAATTGATATTAATGGGCCTAAGTTAGTCTGTGATTCCTGTGTTGCCGGGCAATTGGATCTGTCTATAATTCTGTGATTAATTTCACTGGGTCTGCTCCGAGGAGGAATAGTACTGGATACAACCCAATTTATTCATTTATGCTGACATGTGCTATTTGTTTTAGGTTACTTTTTATGATTGTGACATGTGCACTATTGACATGTGCCTTAATCCAGTTTTCAGTTTCCTTGGAGGCTTTTAAGCAGAGTTTAGATGGCCACTCGCAATGTATTCCTGCATTGGAGAGGGTTGGGGTCCCTTCCAGCTCAACAGTTCTATGAGTCTCATAATTTTTGCATGTTGGTGTTGAGTTTTTATTACAATAAAGTCGTAGGTGTACCTAGGGAAATAAATAAATAAACTAAGATGCACCTAGTTTTTGGAGGAGGAAAACAAGGAAAAAAATATTCTGAATCTCAGAAGCCAGAACAGCAAGAAGGATTGCTGCGCAGTGAAAGCAGCAATCCCTCTTGCTGTTTGGCTTCTAGGATAGCTGCGCAGCCTGCATTCGCTCCATAAGACGCACACACATTTCCCCTTACTTTCTAGGAGGGAAAAAGGCGAGTCTTATAGAGCAAAAAATACGGTATCTTAAATAGCCACCTAAAATTATTAAGATATGGGCTGGATGTGCCTCTGCAAAGAAGCAGTTCCATGTATGAGGAGCCACCACTAAAAAGTCCCTTTTGCTGGAAGGGGGGCATTTTGCTTCTTTTTTTTTGCTGCCACTGTCCTCAAACAACCACATTTGTGTTTAGTCAGATTGACCATGGTGACTCCATGTCCTTTTGCTTCTGGGTGTCCACAACATAACCGGCAAATGCCACATGGCCACTCTAACCAATCGGATTAAACGTTGTTGTGGACAACGAAGGCAAAGATGAGAACTGGATGGAAAACAAATCTGGGCAGATAATCTTGGCATCGAGAGTTTCAGGGAAAAAAATCCCATCCCTAGGGACACCTGCGTTGTCTTAATCGCTTCATGTCCTTTGCTTTTCAGAATGCCCAGAAGGCAAGTTTGGCATGAACTGTTTACAAACCTGTTCCTGCGGTGGTTCACAATGTAGCCGCTTCACTGGACAGTGCCACTGTGTGGCCGGGAAGACTGGTGCGGATTGCAGCCATGGTGAGTAAGGGAAGTCCCATGTCTCCACCTCTGAACACTTGAACGTTCCCTGCGTCGCAGGAAGGAAGAGCTAGAATTTCTCGCAGCTTGAAGATGTAAGGAAAGCTCGTGCCGGTTGATTTCATGCAGTGCCCTATGGCATTTTAATTTAACTAATTCAGCTTAGTTATGGGCAGAGGTTAATGCAACTGAGTTTTATGGAGTCAGCATGGCGTAATGTTTAGTGTGTCAAACTAGGACCTGGGAGAGACTAGGGCCATGAAGCTCATCTTGCCTCTCAGCCTAACCTACCTCACAAGGTTGTTGTGGGGTTAAATGAGGAGGAGGAGAACCACGTATGCTGCAGCGAGCTCCTTGGAGAAAAAGGTGGGATGTAAACACAAGAAAAGAATAAGTTAATCATGCCCATTAACTTTGGTGGGTCTACTCTGAGTAGGCCTAAGCTGGACACAACCCTTTGGTTTTTCCCTGCCCTTGTTATGCTGTTGGTGGATGGACACATTCAACATTATAGTTGGCATTCAGGGCTATTCCTATTCAGAGTAGACCCATTGAAGTTAATGGGCACAATTAACTCATTCATTCAATGCATTTGCATCCCACGCTTTCCTCCAAGGAGCTCACAAATGCCCTTGCACACCCTCACACGCACCATCACTCAACCATGTGCTTGCAACAGCCACATCACTCCAGCCACTCGATTCTTCCTTCGGTGAAACCCTGACAATGTGTGATTGTGTGGAAGTGGCTACTTCCTCCTGCCTGCTGATTGGTTAGGAAAGACCCACCCAAATGGCTCTGGTGTCCCGCATGTGCCACAGGTGCTCAGGACTGCCTCGTGGGGAAGCCGCTGTGGGTGCAGGTGAGCTTAGTGCTGCCTAGAGGAGAACCTAGAGTCCATTGCCAATCCAGGTCTTCAACATTCATTCTCTCTCTCTCCAGATTGCCCTGAAGGCCACTGGGGTAGAGGCTGCCAGGAGCTCTGCCCAGAGTGCAAGAATGGTGCCCGCTGTGATCCCGCCACTGGCGCTTGCTTGTGCCTTCCTGGATATACAGGCAGCCATTGTCAAGATGGTAAGCAGCTCTTGTCTTTAGCAGGGATAGAAGCGATGGCAAGGACACCCAAGGACTGCAGCTCAGGGGTAGAGCACCTGCTCCGCATGCAGAAGGTCCCAAAGTCAATCCCCGGAAGCTCCAGGTAGGGCCGGGAGAGACTTTTGGCCTGGAACCCCAAGAGATGCCGCTAATAAGTATAGACATAGAATCATAGAACTGTAGAGCTGGAAGGGACCCCCAAGGGTTATCCAGCCCAACCCCCTGCAATGCCATAATCTCAATTAAAACATTAATGACAAATGGCCATCGAACCTATGTTTAAATACCTGCAGTGAAGATAGAAGTGGAAGTTCATAGCAGCTCAGGACTGCAGTACCGCAAGGACTGCCTCTTCCCATATGAACTTACCCAGTCCTTGAGATCATCTTCTGAGGCCCTCCTTTGTGTGCCTCCTTGAGAGGTCTGGAGGGCGGCAACACGAGAACGGGGCCTTCTCTGCACTGGCCCCCCGTCTGTGGAATGCTCTCCCCAGGGAAGTTTGCCTAGCGCCTTCATTATACAGTGGTACCTCGGGTTAAGTACTTACGGTAATTCGTTCCAGAGGTCCGTACTTAACCTGAAACTGTTCTTAACCTGAAGCACCACTTTAGCTACTGGGGCCTCCTGCTGCTGCCGTGCCACCGGAGCCCGATTTCTGTTCTCATCCTGAAGCAAAGTTCTTAACCTGAAGCACTATTTCTGGGTTAGCGGAGTCTGTAACCTGAAGCGTATGTAGCCTGAAGCGTATGTAACCCGAGGTACCACTGTTTAACCAGGCCTTCAATGGATCTTATTGACATCCAACACCCTTTTAGAATGTGACCTTTTTTTGGGGGGGGTGTTATTGGGTTATTGCTTTTGGTTTTATTTTATATGTTGTGGTCTTGTTGTGAACTGCCCTTAGACCTCCGGGTATGGGGCAGTGTATAAGTTGAATAAATAATAATAATAATAATAATAATAATAATAATATAGTTTAATTTGACACGTGTGGTCAGCGGAAGCAACATCCAGTGTGGATTCTTCCAAGTAAGCGCCAGTGAAATGAATGGGTGTTGCGCGAGAGCACAGTGCCTGCTGGGCTCCCTCGATTCTGCCAGTCTCAATGGCACCCCCCCCCCCAATTCTTATGGGCCGTACTGCTTTTGCATTGCTCCTCCTCCTCCCATCCATCCCCAGAGGTGATCTGATTTACCGATCTGGAGCATCAGTTACCTTCAGTTGTGTGTTTGTGGAAATGGTTGTATGGAGGATTTAGTTTAAAATGTTTTATGGCACTGCTCAACCATAATGCCCGTCCTAGAAAGAAAATGCAATCTTGTCTGTGCTATAAAAAAATTGGAAAGATCGAGGAATCCCAACAAAAGAACAATGACTGCCTAAGCTTATGGAATTTGCAGAATTAGCCAATTTGACAGCCAAAATTAAGGAATCGGGATGACAAACGGATAAGGTCCGAGCGGGAAAGCTTTGGGGAGGATTTAAAATGATATGATACAAAAATCAATTTTCAAGTCGGGGTAACTTTATGAGCAACGGTGAATTATAACAAAGAGGTGAAAGAAGGGGGGGGAATGGGTGGATAAAGTATCTGATACGTAGCAAAACAAGGTATATCTAGAATGTCTTGGAATGCTGGGTTGGGGAGTCTGTAAATACCACGTGATGGAAAAGCAGGATGTATAAACTGGATATTGGAAAATGCATTAAAAAAAAATCTGTGCAAATAGGCATTTGACTGTGTTTGCAATGGACTCTGGCTACAAGCAATAACTGTTTATTGGATCCCCCCCCCTCCTTTTGTAGTATGTCCACCTGGATGGTTTGGGCAAGATTGCCAGATGCGCTGCAACTGTGGGAACGAAGGATACTGCCACCCTGAGACGGGGAGGTGTAGCTGCCTGCCCGGATGGACGGGCCACAATTGCCGAAGAGGTATAGGTCTACTCTGAGTAGGACTTAAATGCAACCCGGTGTCAAAGTCATGATAATAATGAGGCTTCCTCTTCCTCCTCTTCAGCCTGCAATGCTGGCCGCTGGGGTCCCGATTGCACCAACACTTGCAACTGCAGCAACAGTGATGGGAGCTGCAATGCTATGACAGGACAGTGTCTCTGTGAAGCCGGCTACACCGGGACCCGTTGCGATCAGAGTGAGTACCGCCTTCCAGTGTTTTCGAGCCTCCTGCTCACTCTTTGTGCATGTGAGAAGGTGTTGTTAATGTCCAGCCAGCAGAGAGAGAGAGAGAGAGAGAGAGAGAGAGAGAGAGAGACCACCCGACTGGGAGGTGATTGAATCTTGTGAGGTAATTCTGGGATGAGGGCACCACTATGGAGAATGTCCAGTTTCTTGAAGAAATGTGCTGAGCTCCTGAAACCCACATTAAACAAGTTGGAGTTCTTGTTATTAAATATACCAAGAGAAAAGAACACACCAAGAACTCAGGCCAATAAAAGTTTCAATAGTGGGAGTGGTCCCTACTCGCAAATCAATAGTAACAAAAACTAATCCATTCAAAAGTATGTATTCTGACAAGAATTACAAACTCAAATAGAGATTACAAACTCAAACAGAGATTACAAACTCAAACTCATAAGGATATGTATATCCAATTATGAATCACAAACCAGTAAGTTCGTGCTAATCCATAGCCAGATTCGTCGTGAAGGTCTTAGTTTCAATCATTAAACAGAAGTCAGAAGTCAATTATGGATCAGAAACCAGGACAGGGCCCTGTTTTGATGTATTCACCTTCATCAGCTAATTTTAAAAGGGTCGTGTAAGTTTGAATAATTCATATAAATATATCCTGTTATTTTCTACGTTTCTCAGAGATAACAACTACATGTGGGTAGATCAATGCGTATCTTGAACTTTTCTGTGCTCCTGAAACCCACCTGTATCAGAGAATCCCAGCTAGATGACTTGAACACTGGGCAGTTCTAAATTGGATTTAAAAATCATTTATTGCCATTACTAACAAACTTTATTTCCGAATTAAATGGAAAATTCAAAATGTGAGTTTTCCCACTCATTCAAAGGAATGTTCCATTAAAAAACACAATTATTTTCCCATTTATTTTATTTGTTTCTTATATTTTTTGTATCGGGACGAAGTATTGATATAACCTAGAAGAGTCTGTACTGGTCACAGGAAGATGACAGAGAAGGGAAGGAGAGAAATTAGGTTGTATTTCTGATTTTTTTAAAAAGGCCTATGAGATAGAGACCCTTTGCTCTGTTATAGATTTGGCCAGTCTGTCCATTTGAAGGAGCAGTAGAAAGTCTGAGAAGTTCATGCCAATTGGGACAAAAAACATGGAAGTAATAAGCAGGAGAAGAGCTGGTAGTTCTGTAATGGAAAGCAATGGGTAGTTTATAGGATGTGTGCCTCCTTTGTTGTTGTTGTTGTTTAGTCGTTTAGTCGTGTCCGACTCTTCATGAACCCATGGACCAGAGCACACCAGGCACTTCTGTCTTCCACTGCCTCCCGCAGTTTGGTCAAACTCATGCTGGTAGCATCGAGAACACTATCCATCTTGTCCTCTGTCGTCCCCTTCTCCTTGTGCCCTCCATCTTTCCCAACATCAGGGTCTTTTCCAGGGAGTCCGCTCTTCTCATGAGTTGGCCAAAGTATTGGAGTCTCAGCTTCAGGATCTGTCCTTCCAGTGAGCACTCAGGGCTGATTTCCTTAAGAACGGATAGGTTTGATCTTCTTGCAGTCCATGGGACTCTCAAGAGTCTCCTCCAGCACCATAATCCAAAAGCATCAACTGCATCTAAAGCAGCAAACATTACCTGTCTGAAACCAGGCAGATCTGATGCTTTGAAGTAGTAAGAAGCCTGAACATTTCATGCCACATGAATGGGGAAAACACCAACATTACAGGCAGCAGAAAGACCACCTGAGTCTTCCACTGAAAGCAATATAAAACCAAAAGAAGCTGGGGAATAAGTAAAACAAATAAGCTAGTTCTGAGCACAGCTGTCAACTTTTCCCTTTTCTTGCGAGGAATCCTATTCGGAATAAGGGAATTTCCATTAAAAAGAAGGGAAATGTTGACATTTCTGAGTGAAAAACAAAACTTTTAAGAATGAACATGACGGGAGCAGCTTGTTGTGAGGAGAGCATGGATTTCAGGCAAGGCAAGGGCTGGTTCAAGTAGGCATTCGGACTGTGCTTCAGGAGAGCAAACCTCTGATTTTGTTGCCTCAGCAGCTATCAAACCAAGACTGAGCCTTATATAGAAGCCACACCCAACTAACCCCACCCTGCTGGAAGGTGCCATTTTTTAGTTAAAGGGATTCCATCAGTCTCCCTGGGGCCAGTGCAATGGAGTCATCCAAGGGCAGCAGCACTGCCGCCAGAGACTTGGCCAGTGAAAGTGGTTCTGGGGCTAGCCCTCCACGCCCTTCTGCTTTGGAGTCCTCATCTCCCAAAACAGGGGAATCAAACATCCAAGATTGTGGCCCCACCAAAGTCCTTTCCCCTCCTGAACATCTGGGTGGGAGGCAGTGCTTTCCTGAAAGAAGGTGGTCCTTTTAGCAGCATCTGGTTTTACACACCAGCTCTGCATCCTCTTATAAACCCCTCTCTCTCCTTCTCCCCTCCCCTCCCCATTGTTTTGATGTGTTCTGTTTTTCCCAAGAGTGCCCTGAAGGCTGGTTTGGTCCAAGCTGCCGCCACAGATGCCAGTGTGACAACGGGGCTGGCTGCGACCACGTCAGCGGGGCCTGCACCTGCACCCCGGGCTGGAGAGGGACCTTCTGTGAACGCCGTAAGTAAGCCAAACCCAGGACTTTTGTTACTCATACTGCTACTACTAATAATATCCTCCCCATCCCTATTCACAGAGGGACCTTTCAATCTGCTCACCTTGCTAGGCTGCTAGTCGCTCTTCAAATGAGGGCTGTGCCAATAGTTCTCCCAGAAATGTTTTCAGCAGGAAGGTATTGTCCCTGGAGGGGATGTCCATATAAACTCCAGCTCACTCATTTCTCTGCCTCTCCATTTGCCAAACGACAGCAGACTCTTCATGGTCGCCTGGTCTAGGAGGGGATACATTCATTGAAAATATTAGCTTTTCCCCTTTTCTTTTTTAAGAAAGGAACCTACCTGTTTGTTAAGCCTGGCACCAGAGGTCCTTCTCTAAATACCCCTGCCACTCTGTAGGCTTTCTTTATTACTGCTACTGTTGTTGTTGTTTATAAGTCACCACATGACTGAGTTGCCCAGAGAGCCCTATTTTAGACATTTTCAAAAAAGAAGATGATTGCCCAGGATTTTAACTGCTTTTATAACAACAACAATTTATTTATACCCCGCCCATCTGGCTGGGTTTCCCCAGCCACTCTGGACGACTTCCAGCAGAACACTAAAATACAATAACCTATTAAACATTAAAAGCTTCCCTAAACAGGGCTAAGGGACGTGGGTGGCACTGTGGGTTAAACCACAGAGCCTAGGACTTGCCGATCAGAAGGTCGGTGGTTCAAATCCCTGCGATGGGGTGAGCTCCCGTTGTTTGGTCCCTGCTCCTGCCAACCTAGCAGTTGTGCAAGTAGATAAATAGGTACCGCTCCGGCGGGAAGGTAAATGGCGTTTCCGTGCGCTGCTCTTGTTCGCCAGAAGCAGCTTTGTCATGCTGGCCACATGACCCGGAAGCTGTAAGCCGGCTCCCTCGGCCAATAAAGCAAGATGAGTGCCGCAACCCCAGAGTCGTCTACGACTGGACCTAATGGTCAAGGGTCCCTTTACCTTTAAACAGGGCTGCCATCAGATGTCTTCTAAAAGTTTGTTAGTTATTTCCTTGACATCTAGTGGGAGGGCGTTCCTCAGGGTGGGTGCCACTACCGAGAAGGCCCTCTGCCTGGTTCCCTGTAACTTGGCTTCTCGCAGTGAGGGAACCACCAGAAGGCCCTCGGCGCTGGACCTCAGTGTCTGGGCAGAACGATGGAGGTGGAGACGCTCCTTCAGGTATACTGGGCCGAGGCCGTTTAGGGCTTTTTTGAATCTTTACTGTTGCTGCAATAGCTGCTTTTGTCTCTGAGCTTTTTCATCTGTTTTATATTTGTTTTATAGTTCTCTTTTGTAGGCTGCCTTGAAAATCTAGATTAACTGAATTAAAAAGAAAGAAAAAAAGAAAGGTGGCTTTGCTCTACCACCATCTCATACGAATTGGTGCCCAGACTTATCGCGCGGGTTTTTCTTTCCCCAGCTTGCCCTGATGGCTTTTACGGGATGGAGTGTCACAAGGCCTGCCGGTGCCTGAACGGAGCCCGCTGTGATCATGTGACCGGACGCTGCACCTGCCCCGCTGGCTGGATCGGTCCCACCTGCAATCAAAGTAGGTGCCCTGTGCTGGGTGCCAGCCTCGCAGCCTCCCCAGCTGACCGTGGACATGCGTGGAAGTGGCGGTCCTCATTGTCTGTTTCCCTTCCGCTACAGCTTGCCAGGCTCACCGCTATGGGGAGAACTGCAGCCAGGAATGCAGCTGCTCCAATGGGGCCACCTGTGACCACATGAGCGGCCGGTGCCTCTGCGCACCTGGATGGATGGGAGAGACCTGCCAGCAAGGTATTACTCACTAATAATAAGTAAGGAGGCTTTCTATAGCTACTTTCCATGATACTTGTGGTCGGCTTCCTCTGTTGGAGGCAGTGTTCTCGAATCACAAGTCAGGTGAGTGCTGCTGTCTTCCGGTTTCTTTTCTTTTCTTTTTTAAATGATTTTTTATTAGATTTTCCACAATGATAACAAAAACCACAAAGCATAGTGGTGCACAAAAATGGGGAAAAAAGAACAATAAACAGCTAAACAATAACAACAAACTTAATTCTTCACATCATCCCTAGCTAGCAAGACCAGTGGTCAGGGATGATGGGAAATGTAGTTCAAAAACAGCTGGAGGCCCAAGGTTGGGAAACACTGAGCTACAAAAGCTGAGGCTGCTGAACGGAGACTCTTCAGCTGGGCTGTTATCTGAAGGGTTTCGTTGTGTGTCCCCATGTGTTACTGTTGCTTTTTTGGGGGGTATCATTATTTTTAGACCTTGTCAATGCATAAACTGTTCAGTTTGGTTGTGTTTTTCGAAATGTAGTCAAAAGCAATAAATAAATAAATAAATAACACGTTTGTTATGCTGTAGTTATGTATTGCTTTCATGTTGCGAGACGCCTAGAGCAAGGTCTGAACTGTGGAAGGCAGCATACAAATATAATTCTGTATGTGCTGGGGCGAAGAGGCAGGACCTGAAAATGATGTGGGCATTTCCCACCTCGCAATCCATGGGGGGGGGGGAGAGACCTGCCATGCTCACAGAAAAACGTTATTCGCACCTCTCCCCTCTTCAGAATGAAAGGGTGAGTGGCTGTGCGGGTCCAATCCTGGCATTCAATGAAACGCGTCCATGCTTAAGGGTGTGTGTGTGTTCAATGTTGGAGAGGCTGAACGAGTGCAAGCAGGAACTGAACATGGAAAGCAAGCAGCTTCTTGTGCATTGCGGTTTTCCGAAGGGGCCTTTACCTTGCGTGGGCTTCGTAGGAGCTACCGGTGTGCGAATTCATTGCCTATGGGCAACAATCCTGTGGCTTAAACAATTGAGATTCTGTGTCCCTTTTTGTTCCCACTGGAAATTTATTTCAGCTGCGTTCTGATCTGGTTGCTGTTCCCTTTTTTCCTCCCCTGCCCTCAGTGTGTCCCGATGGCTCCTTTGGAGCAAGCTGCCAGCAGCAGTGTCTTTGTCAAAATGGCGGGACGTGTGATCCAGTCACCGGGAGCTGCGTGTGTCCCGAAGGCTGGACAGGACTGGCCTGCGAACAGGGTAATCTGTTTCTTTTTTGCAATAATAATAATAATAAATTTCTCTCTCATTATTCATAAATACAGTCATACCTTTGAAGTCGAACGGAATCAGTCCCGGAAGTCTGTTCCGAAACATCCAGAAACCAAAGCGCAGCTTCTGATTGGCTGCAGGAAGCTCCTGCTGCCAATCGGAAGCCGCGGAAGTCCTGTCGGATGTTCAGCTTCCAAAAATAGTTTGCAAACCGGAACAGTCACTTCCGGGTTTGCGGTGTTCGGAAGCCAAAACGTTTGAGAACCAAGCTGTTCAAAAACCAAGGTACGACTGTAACAAAACTACTTAAAACAATTATACGTAAAACCACACAATAAAAAAGCACTATGGGAATGCTTACTATGTTGCTTAGATATGAGGAATGTGCTAAAATGTTAAAAGTAATAAAATAAAGGAGCAGGAATGGAATGTTGTGGCTGAAGGGGATTTCTTATTTACCCGTCGGACTTTTTCATACATAAAACAGCAGGAGGGATAAGTTGCATTTGTGGAATATTGATATATAACCAATGATTTTTTTTTTTTGTGGGCTGGCAAAGTTAAGAGTAACCCTGCTTGACATTTTGGGAATATGTTGTAGTTGAATAAAATTCTATGCAGGGATTGAAATATGTACAGCCAAGGGGAAATGAAGAAGTGATAAAGTGATAAAACGCTGAAATATTTCAAGTATTGAAACAGCATTATGAAATGTATGTTGCACTGGGTAAGGGAGGGAAGAAAAACATAATGGAAGCGGGGTGGTAAGTCAACTTTTAGATTTGTATTAAATTAGAATTAATTTGAAGTTGATCTGTAACTTTTTTTGGAAAAGCAATACAAATCAAAGGGCCAAAAAAGTAATAAAATAAAAATAGAATAAGTTAAAAACTTATCAGAGGAGCAGCTTGAAGGAGCTCTTCACCGGCCATCCTCTTGCTCCTCCCATATGAAGAGGTTAAAATTGGAACCAGCCTGAAGGAAAAAGAAAAATAACAATTGGGCATCTATAATTTGAAACAGAAGGTGCCTTCTGAACTTTTGCTGGCAGAGTATGCCACAAGGCCTTGCTCATTATACTATAGGCTCAATTTCTTCTTGCTGTTGTCAAACGAGCCTCCCAAATTTGAGGAATGCTCCTTTTTTATTATTGTTTGGAAACCCAACTATCGATCTGGTTGGCTAGACATTTTCAATCAATATATCCCCTCCACAGAAACCTCTGGGATGGTGATGGCATTAAAACCTCCTGTTCTTCAATAAGAGAGAAAAAGGGAGACCAGATCGTGTGAAAGATACCTTTTTTGGAGATGGCCTTGATTAGTTGTTGATGGTCTGTGCAATGCTCCAGAATCAGCCTTTCTCAACCTTGGCCTACAACTCCCATCATCCCTGACCACTGGTCCTGTGAGCTAGGGATCATGTAGGCCAGAAACATCTGGGGACCCAAGGTTGAGAAGGGCTGCTCCAGATCTTATTAACCCAAGCCTCTATTGGTATATTACAGGTTTCCTTCCCTTGTTAGGCAAAGTCTAGCTGCTGTGAACAGGAGAACAGGAGGAAATTAATTATTTAGATTCTTTAAGGGTAGAGTTTAGGGGAAAGCTCCTGAAGGAGATCCCAGTGATTGGGGATAAGGTAAAGGTAAAGGGACCCCTGACCATTAGGTCCAGCCGTGACTGACTCTGGGGTTGCGGCACTCATCTCGCTTTATTGGCCAAGGGAGCCGGTGTCCAGCTTCCGGGTCATGTGGCCAGTATGTCTAAGCTGCTTCTGGCGAATCAGAGCAGCACACGGAAATGCCGTTTACCTTCCCGCCGGAGCGGTACCTATTTATCTACTTGCACTTTGACGTGCTTTCGAACTGCTAGGTTGGCAGGAGCAGGGACCGAGCAATGGGAGCTCACCCTATCTCAGGGATTCGAACTGCTGACCTTCTGATTGGCAAGTCCTAGGCTCTGTGGTTTAACCCACAGCGCCACCTGTGTCCCTTGGGGATAAGGTATCCTGGACCTAAGTTTTTCAGAGCTTTGCAGATTAACGCAAGAACCTTGAATCTGGCTTGGTAGTAGATGGGCAACCAGAACAGATGCTTTAATGATGGTGCCACCTGTCGTTAGCCACACCCCACCCTATAACCTGATGCTCCCATCCATCGGCACCCCATCTGTGGAACTCTCTGGCGCAATAATTTAAGCCGGGGATGGGGAACCTTTTCCAGCATGGCAGCTGCATTCCCTCACAGGATGGATTTATGGATGAACAGAATCAGAAGCGATGTGATGCAAACTCTTCAGCCATCCCTAGTCTGACCAGAGAATGTAGCTACAGTAAGCCTCCTTGCATGTAGGAAAATAGATCTCTAAGGGAGGCTGAGCTACATAACCTTGATCTGCTACTTTTCTCCTGACATGGACATTTCTCATGTGTTTTGCATTGGAGGGGGGAGGCATTCAACTCACGTTCCCACCCTGCACATCTGCGTTTTGACGGGTAGTCTGTGGAAGGCTCATCTGAAAAGGTCTCTTTCCCTTAGAGTGCACCCAAGGAAAATATGGGGTCAATTGCCAGGAGAGCTGCGATTGCCTGAACGAGGGCTTGTGTGCCCGGCAGGCTGGGCGCTGCCTTTGCCGCAGTGGCTGGACAGGAGAGAAGTGCCAAATCCGTAAGTAAGAATATTTTGTGGGGGGGGGGTTTATATTAAAACTTATGAACATCCTTACAATAGGCATTTCCTTCACGAGGCATGGTGCAAAGTAGTGATACAACAAACCTAGCAATATGTAATAAACCGAGTTTAAAATCCACATTGCACCCTTTGAAATGAGCAGTAAAGCAACCTTCGATAAATAAGTGGACTGAAACAACACTTTTATTGATTTGAGGCCTTTTAACATCATTTGATTATTGCTTGTCATTAATTCAGCCTCGGCAGAATGATGGCAAAATAACCTTTTTTTAAAAAAACAAACAAAAAAAAACCGGGGCTGGTGTGCTGTGGTGAATATGCTGATTAAATTGTTTCATGGAATTGCAGAACATCTGATGGTCATTTAGCCCAACCCAGTCACAGCTGAAGTATCCATGGCAGATGGCCATCCAACCTCTGCTTAACAAGGAAGTAGAGGCCAGCACCTACTGAGGGAGCCCATTCCACTATTGAACAGATCTTAGCGTCGGAAAGTTCTTCCTAATGCTTGGAATCTTGTTTCTTCTACTTTGAATCGGTTGGTTCAGGTCCTCCCGATACTGGAGCAGCAGCAGAAAACATGCTTGCTCTATTTGGCTGTCCTATGCTCTCTGTCTCTTCTCCTGGCTAAAGGAAACATCCCCTTCTCCCTCTTCCGTTTCCTCACAAGGCTTGGTTCTCAGACCCTTGTGTCATCCTGCTTGCCCTCCTCTGCCCACATTCACGCATACAGGGCCGCCTCCATAACTATTTCCGGCGAAGTGGTTTAACAGCAAATAAGCAATTTTAAAAGCAGGTATAAAACAATTCGTGACAGCAGTCACGAAATTAAAAGACGCCTGCTTCTTGGGAGAAAAGCAATGACAAACCTAGACAGCATCTTAAAAAGGAGAGACATCACCTTGCCAACAAATGTCTGTATAGTTAAAGCTATGGTTTTCCCAGTAGTGATGTATGGAAGTGAGAGCTGGACCATCAAGAAGGCTGATCGCCGAAGAATTGATGCTTTTGAATTATGGTGCTGGAGGAGACTCTTGGGAGTCCCATGGACTGCAAGAAGATCAAACCTCTCCATTCTTAAGGAAATCAGCCCTGAGTGCTCACTGGAAGGACAGATCCTGAAGCTGAGGCTCCAATACTTTGGCCACCTCATGAGAAGAGAAGACTCCCTGGAAAAGACCCTGATGCTGGGAAAGATGGAGGGCACAAGGAGAAGGGGACGACAGAGGACGAGATGGTTGGACAGTGTTCTCGAAGCTACCAGCATGAGTTTGACCAAACTGCGGGAGGCAGTGGAAGACAGGAGTGCCTGGCGTGCTCTGGTCCATGGGGTCACGAAGAGTCGGACACGACTAAACAACTCAAACAACAACAACAATAACAAGATAAAACAATTTACTACACTGATCAAAACAATCAAATTTCAAATGTAGACTGTGATTTTTTTAAAAAAATATATATATTCATGTAAAATGCTTGAAAGGCCTTTTCTGAACGCAGACTGGGGTTCCTCTTCACATCCATTTGGAATTTCCCGGTGCAAATTGCAACTGGCATTGCCCGAATCTGGTTTCAATTACGCACCCGCCTCCCCCGGCCGCTGCGAAAGCAACCGGGAACAAGGCTGTGGAAGGTGCCATTCCAAACGGCCGGCTCGGCGCCATTCCCTAGCCGGCCTACCTTGCATTTTACCCTTTCTGTGTTTGCCTTGGACCCTGGCCATTTTCGCCTTCTGTCTGAGGCGAGAGCCAGCTCAGGAGGTTTGAGTGGAGTTGGCGTGCCCTCGGGGCAACCTCACGTGTGTTGTAAGGCGAGCCGCCCGCCTCGGGTTACCGGCTGCCCTGCTCGGGAACTGGCAAGCACCGGGAGCGCAGCCAAGCTCCTGAGCCAGTGCCCCAGTGTTGATTTTGCTGTGTTTCAGTTCCGTGATGGAGACGTTAGGACGGCTTCCAAGCCACTCTGTGCCCAGGGCAAGGAAACTGTCCTTTCGCCTGGCAAATGTTTGCTGCTTGAAATGGTGAATACCAGAATATATTTTGATTCCCTCACCCCCTCTTGTCTTCCTTTCTTTCATATAATTTCCAAAGCATGACACCAAGGGGTGGGGCAATTCAGGTCTGAGGTCCAACTGTGGCCCTCTGGATCGCTCTGCCTGGCCCTTGAGACTCTCCCCAGGCCACATTCCTCAGTGGCCCAGCTTTGCATGTTCTCTGAGTGTTTCTGCCTGGCTGGAATGGGTCCTTGAACTCTTATACAGTGGTACCTCGGGTTAAGTACTTAATTCGTTCCGGAGGTCCGTTCTTAACCTGAAACTGTTCTTAACCTGAAGCACCACTTTAGCTAATGGGGCCTCCCGCTGCCACCGTGTGATTTCTGTTCTCATCCTGAAGCAAAGTTCTTAACCCGAGGTACTATTTCTGGGTTAGCGGAGTCTGTAACCTGAAGCATCTGTAACCAGAAGAGTCTGTAACCCGAGGTACCACTGCAATGCCTCTTTGCTTGTCTGGATGGGGAGAAAGAGATGGGGCTGTGAATGTGTGTAAAAACCTGCCTGCTTTACAAAAGTAAAATTTACATCCGTTGCTCCACCCACTTTTGCCATTGGTCCCGCCCATGGCTGGCATGTGGTCCCTCATAGGTTGCCCAGAAAGGAACATGGCCTATGGCCTGAAATAACAACAACAACAACAACAACAACAACAACAACAACAACAACAACAACAACAACAACAATAATAATTTATTATTTATACCCCGCCCGTCTGGCTGGGCTTCCCCAGCCACTCTGGGCGGCTTTCAACAAAATATTAAAATACATTAATGCATCAAACATTAAAAGCTTCCCTAAACAGGGCTGCCTTCAGATGTCTTCTGAAAGTCCGGTAGTTATGGAAAAAAAGTTTTGCCAACCCTCTGTTATGGGCCCATCATTCTGTTCAATTTGTCATTGAGGGGGGACATGCTTCCTTTTTGGGAGCTCAAGCGGGAAAGGGGGTTATAAAACCTTAGAATTGTTGAGTTGGAAGGGTCCCCAAGGGCCATCTAGTCCAACCCGCTGAACTGGAAACTATCACTTACTTATGGCCAGCAAGCCCATGTGGCTGACATGAGATACTTCTCTTTCCCCTATTTGGGAGCTTTGGAGCAGAATGTTCTCCACAAAAGAATTCCGCTGGGAATCTTGGTAGCCAGAGGGGGGCGCTGACTTGGGCAGAAAGTGAAGAAGCTGCAGAAATCAGAAATCAAAACACTCCCCCCCCTTCTTATCCGGGTGTGAAAAGCTCTCCCCAAACAGTGCCAAATAAGATTGGAAGTGTTATTTCTGGCTTGAGCCAGCAGCGCTCGGATGCCAGGACAATCTCACCATGATCCAGGGTATTTAGCAAGATCGGCTCCAGTAGTTGGAATTTGCTGTTTTATCTGTCATCGGAAGTTTAACGCAGAACTTTAAAGAAGAGGGTTCTTTTTGAAAAACATACACACACACAAACACACACAGCTCTTGAGGGGTGCAGGCAGGGAGAAATTGGAAACTGAATTTTGAAGTTAGGAGTTGCAGCAGCTGCCGCGACGAAAAGTTGCAGCGTAGCAAGTGTGGCTCCTGTTTCGGCTTCCTTGCCAGCCAACGTTGCTCTTCAAGGATGCTGTAAGCCAGGGGTAGCCCAAGTGGTGCCCTGAGGATAGTGTTGACCAGTGGCTCCCATCAGCCCTAACCAGCATGCCCAATGGTCAAGGAAGATGGAAGTGGGAGTCCAGCAGCATCTGGAGCTCACCACATTGGCTACCCCTATTGTGAGAGATGGGAACCCATAGCTCTCCCTTCACCTTGGACCATTGACTATGCTGGCTGGGGCTGATGGTAGCTGAGCAGCCAGTGTCTGGAGTGCCCAGGGTTTCCCGCTCCTGATCTGACCTGTAAAGCCACACTGTGGTATGCACCCAGTCAGTACCTAAGTTTGAGAAGCCGATAACCTTTGGAACAGCTCCGATAAGCGGTCCATCACACCTCTGGACTCATCCGCTACATTTTGTAAATGCCAGATTCCATCCTGGCTCTGCCCTTCACTCTTGGGGTCCCTTCGAAACGCTACAATTCTATGATTCTACGTTACGAATTTGGAAGGGGGGGGAGGGATGGTTTAACAAAGTGGGGGGGCTGATTGCTGCACCCGGTTAACCTGAGTCTGTTTGTTTTGATCAGATTCTATCTAGATCAGAATGCATTCATGAATGAAGCACCCCAGCCATTTCTTCTCTTTTGCAGCTTGCCCCGAGGGCACCTATGGGGAACAGTGCAAGCAGCGGTGCGACTGTGAGCATGGGGTCTCCTGCCACCACATCACAGGGGCCTGTGATTGCCCGCCAGGGTGGAGAGGACATCACTGTGATAAAGGTGAGGGAGCTGCCAGCTATTCTGGTGGCCAGGTAGGTGAGCCCGTATGCAGGCGGCCGAGCAGGTAAACGAGGAGGTTGTGCTCCGTTGCTGCCTGGTGAGTGACCATTTGCTCAAACTTGAGAGATGGGCTGGAGTCAGTGATATTATAGGGCCAGCCGGAACTCTTGTTTCCCCTTGTATCTGCAGCCCTTCACTGCTCCCACTGGCTGGAGGTGGTATTGCAGGGTAGGTGCAATAACACCTCCAGCCTGTGGGGGCACTGGTGTGCTGCAGAGAGTAGTAGAAGAAGAAGAGTTTGGATTTGATATCCCGCTTTATCACTACCCTAAGGAGTCTCAAAGCGGCTAACAATCTCCTTTCCCTTCCTCCCCAACAAACATGCTGTGAGGTGAGGCTGAGAGACTTCAGAGAAGTGTGACTAGCCCAAGGTCACCCAGCAGCTGCATGTGGAGGAGTGGAGACGCGAACCTGGTTCACCAGATTACGAGTCCACCGCTCTTAACCACTACACCACACTGGTTCTCCAGTAGGCTACTCCACAAGAGTACGCTAGTGGATGCCTCCTTTGGCAAACTGCTCTGGGGGCACAGTGCATATGGCCTCTTGAGCCCCTGTTGTGGCAAGGAACCTCCAGCCCACAGACCTAATGCAGCCCTCCAGCCCTCCCCTTCCGGCCTACGATGCTGTTTGGGGCCAAGCCACTCCTGATCGCCTGACATCATATAGGACATTAAGTTTTGGGGCAAATGAGAATGTGGCTGGGCTGAAAGGGGGGAGGGCTTGCAGGCACCACTGATGGCCAGCACCTACAACAATCCTGCACACAACCTCAGCCACAGCATTTTGCAAGCTCTAGCATCCAGCACTGTGCCTGCATGGGTTCAATTTCAAGCCATGCACCTGATAATCAGGTAATTGACACATGGCTGTCCCCTCTGTTTCCCCACCTACCTGCCATCAATCTACTCCCCGTTTCTTCCTCCTTTCAGTACAACTGACTAACCTGCTGCTATGGTATTTCTGAATCCTGGTTAGGATGCGAGGATTGAATGGCACCATCATAAAATGTTACATTGGGGGAATAATATGATGTGGGAGAACCACCAAGTTTAAGGGGGTATGGGCTTTCCATGGAAAGATGTTGGCTTGCTAACATCTTTTCATTTAGGAGACCACCCAGTTGGGAAAACAGGCATGTTCTGGAAAACAAGCTGATTCCACAGAAAACTGAAGTCCCCCCCCCCCGAGGCTCCAACAATAACCCCTCTCTCTCAACCCTCTGCTGCTCTGCTCAGTTTCCTTCTTGGATAGCATGAAAAAGGCTGGCTCAGTTTCCACCACCCCTGGCATGGAGCCTACTGCTTTGGGTCCCCCCCAGCTGCTGGGAACCACAAATGGGGAGAGCAGCTGTTGCACTCAAGGCCCTGCTTGGGGGCTTCCCACAGGGGGGCGTCTGGTTGGCCACCCATGAGGAAAGGATACCAGACTTGATGGGTCTGTGGCTTGATCTGGCAGCCTGGCGCTTCTCCTGCTTCTGTGGAATACCAGGCGATGGCCACCAACTTCGATGGCTTTAAAAGAAGGCTGGAGAAGTTCGTGGAGCTGCTAGCACAACGACTCTGCTCCACCGTCGCTGCCATGCTTCCAAACACCAGTTGCTGGCATCACAAGTAGAGAGGCTGCTGTTGCTCTCAGGTCCTGCTTGTGAGCTTCCCAGAGGCATCTTGGTTGGCCGCTCTGAAAACAAGGTGCTGGTCCAGAGCTGTCTTTCGTCTAATCCAGCCAGTGGACTGTTATAATTTTATTCTTTGTATTCTCTTTGGAGGGTTAGATGATTTCAGGGAGGGTGAGGCTACCCATGGCTGCTTGCCACGATGACGGTGTCCTGTTGCCATTGTTGGCTGGAGGTGGTATGGCTCTGGGTACCACAAAGGAGGAGAGCTGCTGTTGCTCACATGTCCAGCTTGTGGGCTTTCCCATAGTGAGCATCTGGGTGGCCACTGTAAGAACTGGACTTGATGGGCCCTTTGGCCTGACCCGACAGGGCTTTGTCTTAACGTTCTTATCTGTCCCCATCACAGCCTGCCTGCCTGGGTCATTTGGAAAAGACTGCGCTGCCAGCTGTGACTGCCCCCCAGGAACGCCTTGCAACCACATCACGGGCGAGTGCAGCTGCCCCCCAGGAGTTACGGGCCATGGATGTGAGCAATGTATGTTCCCTAAGTTCCCCAGTGGGGCTTGTAGCTTGGCCAGAGTGGAGGTGTCCATCCAGCTTTGGATAATATATTTCAGGCACGTCCAACTCCCAAGAGACTGTGATCTACTCCCAGTATAAAAAAACTGGCAGTGATCTACCAATTTTCATTGGAGGGAGGAGAGTGCATGGGGTGGGTGGATTGCCCAGAGTTCTTCAGCTTTTATTTGTTAACTCTCGGTAAACTTTATTTAATCTTACAATTGATAAGGGTCCCGCGATCTACCAGGATCAGCCGGGGCTCTACCAGCAGATTACGATCTACTGGTTGGATACGCCTGATATATATAAATGGAGTAAATAAACGGGTGCTCAGCCAAATCCCAGATCGCATCCTGGCAGGTGCCTCATGCTTTTGTAATCCAAACACAGCGGAGGGAGAGCCAAGTGGGAAATGGGATCAGCATCCTCTGTCCAAAGAGGATTAGATTAATAAAGCCTCGAGTGGAAGCCAAGGCTTGGCGCAGAGCGCTGTGGCTCGCCGCCACGATTCGTGCACTTGTGTGTTTCGAGGCTCTCCTTCCATGCTTCGAAGGGTTCCTGCCAACTGACCGGGAAAAGAAACCCTGCCTGGCTGCTCCTGCGCCAGTTTGAGCTGTTTGATTAGGAGAAACTGCCGGCTGACTTTTCACAGGACGACAAGCATTCTCTCTTTCTAAGAGAAGATGCCGACTGATTGAACAGGGTGTGGAGGACCCTGGCCTGGCCTGCTCCTCAGCCTTTCATATCAACATGTTCTGCAGAAAAGTGGAGCTGGTCACATCACAGAGATGAGGCCATCAAATGCCCCGAAAGGCTCAGGCAGAGGAGCCGGTGAAAGGAGTTTGCAGAGCTCGCCTGGGTTGAGGGCAGACTGATCTGGGCCTAAGCCAGGGTGGAGAAACTATTTTCAGTCTGAGGGTCACATTTCCTCGTAGGGAACCTTCAGAAGAGTAGTGGTGGTGGGGACACATGTGTGGAGGGCAGAGCAAATGTTCACAAATCCTTTCTGCGAAAGTTGCAATTCGGTGCCTTCGCATGTCAAAAAATAAGATACAGCATCTGCTCAGCTTTCAATTCTGTTACGGAAGAACAGAAAACAGGGAGTCAGCCGCCTCATGGAAAACCTTGCTATGGAATCTCTGCACCACCAATTTGTTGGGCTCCGAAAGAGATCTGGACCCAGCCTTCGCCATCCCAGCTCATTGTTACCCTTTCTTCCTCCATGCCCCCTGCCCTTCAGCTTGTCTCCCTGGGACCTTCGGAATGAACTGCGCTCGGATTTGCCAGTGTCCCGGAGTGAACCATGACTGCCACCCAGTGACGGGAGACTGCATCTGCGCACCCGGTTACCACGGCAGCAATTGCCGACAAAGTGAGTTTGCTCTGAATTATTTGCAACGGGATTTGCTTGCATAGCAAGGAATGGGAGATAACGTTGTTTGGTCTGCGGTTTTAAGTGAGCTGATGGAATTCGCACCATCCGGGTGACTTCATATAGATTAGAATGTTACTGCCTTTCGGATTTTGGACGTCTCCACATTCTGCGAGGTAGGATGCATTGCGTTTGTATCTCGCCTCTGCCCCAAGGAGCCCAAGGTGGTATATACATGGTTCTTTCTTTCCCCATTTAATCTTCATAACACCCCTATGAGGCAGGCTAGGCTGAGAGAGACTGACTAGCTCAAAGTCACCCAGCGAGCTTTACGGCTGACCGAGGGATTTGAACTTGGGACTCCCAGGTCCTAGTCTGACACCCTACACCCTACACCACACTTGCTCTCCAGTACATGTTTACACACACACACACACACACACACACACACACACACACACAATGTATAGAGCAGCCTTTCTCAACCTGTGGGTCCCCAGATATTGTTGAACTACAACTCCCATCACCCTTAGCTAGCAAGGCCAGAGCTCAGGGATGATGGGAGTTGTAGTCCAACAACATCTGGGGACCCACAGGTTGAGAACCGCTGGTATAGAGGATGCAGAGGGCAGCAGGAGGACAGTTCAACTCAAAAGATTTAGGGTGATGAGTGCACAGCTGATCTCTGGGTAGCTGTTTCCACAAGAGCATAGGAACATAGGAAGCTGCCTTATACCAAGTCAGATCATTGGTCCCTCCAGCAGTGCCGGATTTAGGGTGGTGTGAGGGGGCACCAAATTGAGAGGATCCATTTTTGGGGTGCCAAATTTTGGCCCTGCACAGGGCACCATACTACGAAAGATGACCAAATTTCCACCCCTGCACCTAGCTCAGTATTATCTGTGGGTTTCAAGCAGGGTTCCCACCCACTTCCTGGAGGATGCAGGAATTGAACCTGGGGAAAATCGCTTTGCAACACAGCTGCAAGTCCTCCTGGCTAGAATCTCCAGATGCTGTCGATAGAAGCGCTGCACAATGGCAAAAGCAAGTCAGTCCCCCTTCTGTGGCAATAGAATTTGGTTTGACATGAGCAAAATGCACTGCTTCGGCAGTGCAAAGCTAAAGGCTTATTTTGAATCTTTTCAACTTTTAATGGTTTGTTTCTTTGTTTACCCAGGATGCCCCTCTGGGCGTTACGGTCCAAATTGTGAGAGGCAGTGCAAGTGCAAGAATGGGGGGCAATGTGTGACCACCACGGGAACATGCCAATGCCCAGCTGGTTATATTGGTGCCGACTGCGGTACTGGTGAGTGGATTGGAATGGGTTGTGCGTAATGCAGCGGCTTCTTGTATATTGAGTGGCGAAAAGCAGAGCCGAAAGATCAAATATTTGAAATTTCATCATGAAATTTACAGTTTCAGGTTAAGAATGGACCTCCAGAACGAATTAAGTTCTTAACCCAAGATACCACTGTACTAAATGTGTGCTCTGTTCTGCCGTATTTCTCGAAGTGGTTTTTGCATCATGTGCAAGCTCAAATATAATACAGTGGTACCTCTGGTTGCGAATGGGATCCGTTCCAGAGGCCCGTTTGCAACATGAAAGGAATGCAACGCACAGTGGCACGTGGGTTGCGATTCACTGCTTCTGCGCATGACATCATTTTGTGTGTCTGCTCATGTGCCAGCGGCGAAACCCGGAAGTAACCCTTTCCGGTACTTCCGGGTCGCAACCTAAAAAAACGTAACATGAAGCAAATGTAACATGAGGTATAATAATAATAATAAAATTTTATTTATATCCCGCCCTCCCCAGCCGAAGCCGGGCTCAGAGCAGCACATGACTGTACAGTATGACTGTACAGAAGTTAACAGCTAGGGAACCATTCAAGAAAATACAATAAACCTGTCACGAGAATGCACTTTTTATTGGAGACAACCCAGTTTTTAAGTGCAGACTGAAAGCTGGTCACGTACTAAGGGTTGTTGGAATGAACCCAACCTGTCGCATTTTTTCTTTTCTTTTCTATGAAGGCCTCAGGGGTCAGCTTCTCCTTTCCAGAACTTCTCTGTTTCAGAAAACATCACTGGTAGAAAATAACTTCCCCTCCCTGCTCTGATCTGTGAAATGGGGTTGCTGTTTCTTACCGTAGGGTTGCAGCCTTGATTATGGAGATGTGCTTTTGGGGGCAAACACTAAGAAGACTCTGCTGTAAATGAGACCTTTCTTTGTTGCTCTTCCCCCCCCCCCCACCTCCATAGTGTGCCCAGCTGGTCGCTACGGTGTGGACTGTGCTCTAGTGTGTTCCTGTGGCAACACTGCCACCTGCCATCATGCGACAGGCCTCTGCCTTTGCCCACCAGGAAAAACTGGCCCCAACTGTGAGCACGGTAAGCATTTAGAGCGGGTGGCGGGGTGGACAGTTTTCATCCCAGGGCCACACTCCCTTCTAGGCAATGTCCTGGAGGCTGCATGCCTATGGTGGGTGGGGCCAGAAGTGTGTGGGGACGATGGAGGAGAATTTTACCTTTTGTACACTAGTTTCTGTTAGAATTCCTGATCTATGATTGCAGTCATGGGATTTTTGTCTATCACATGACGGTGTATGTTTTGACTCCACAGAGTGGGAAGTGACAGAAACAGGATGTTTGTGTTACTGTGTTCCGTGAAGTGGGACTATTGTCCTTTGTTCTTTTTCTCTTTGCTGTCTGATGCTAGAGAGGGAGGGAGCCATGTTGCAGTGCTCCGCATGTCTTTATATGTAAATAAAGTAGATTAGCCAAAATGCGGAGTTACTGAGGTCTGTCATGTGCATGATGCACAAAGTCTGCGGATCTCTAAGTGTGTCGGTGTCGGTTGGCATCGGTCACTGTGATGTTCGGGTAGAAGGAAGCTGTTGAAGCTCCCGAACAATCGACCAGGAGGGGAATGCAGACAGGCATGTAGTCTCTGCCAGGGTCCTACTCGAGTGTAGGCTGAACTGGCAGTTTCTACACATATTCACACGCACCTCGCTGTCCTCCCCCCAGACAAGGAAGAAGCGCCATCGGAGTTCAGGGATGCATTCCAGCCAGGCAAAAACTCTAGGGGTGCAGTGCAGGGCCAGTGATGGGTGCAGTGTGGCTTGAAGAGAGTTGTGAGAGCGATAGATGACTGGAGGACCACATTTGGTCCTAGGCCTGAACTTACCCCCACTGCCTGCCATTAATGTAAAGTGTCATTTTGTCCAATAGAGCCTGATGAGCATAACACCATCTCTGTGGCAGTCTCTAAACTGTGAATCTCCCATCCAACAGAGGTGTTTTGGGCTCATTCATAACATACTGTACTCTCCAACATTTCTCCAATGACAATAGGGACGTCCTAAGGAAAAGAGGGACATTCCGGGATCAAATCAGAAAGTGGGACGGCTTCTGTAAATCCATGACTGTTCCTGTAAAACAGGGACACTTCAGTGGAAATAGGGATACTTCTTTACCCTGTTTTTTGACACTTGAGATGCATATTTTTAGGACCCCATCTTTCTTCTGTAATTTTAGTTGCTTTAAACTGGTTTTTAATTTTGTGTTTTAATAGCTGTAACCCACCCTATGACCCTGGGGTACAGGATAGGTGGTGGCAGTAGTAGTAGTAATAATAATAAAATTGCACATTGAAGTTGGGGAGAGTACTGTTGCACACTCAGTGGCATCTGATTTTAGCCACTGCAAAAGGACTGTGGACTAGAATGGACTCTTAGCCTGATCCAACCATTTGGGGAGGGCTATCGCCCTCCATGTTCTGCCTATGGACTTCCTGGAGCCATCTGATTGGCCACTGTGGAAAGCAGGATGCTGAACTTTGTCCTTTGGCCCAGTCCCAACAGGGCTCTCTTTGTGTCCTGTCATCACATTGCTCCGTCAACAGAAATAGGTGTCTGACCCTGGCTATCCCCAACCACCATGTCTCGCTCTCTTCTTTGCCACCAGGCTGTCCAGGGAACCGCCACGGAGCCGGCTGCAAGCAGACGTGTGCCTGCCAGAACGGGGGGATCTGCCTCGCGACCGACGGCTCCTGCCTGTGTGGGCTCGGGTGGATGGGGAAGTTTTGCGAATTGGGTAATTCTGCATGTGCGGCTCCTATTCCCTCTTGCTACAAAGGTGCAATTGATCCGTCTGCCTTCCCCCGCAACTTGGCCGCGGTCCAGGCTGCTGGAATTTCACTAGAACCGCTGTGCTAAAACAAAACAAAACCCACCTTCGTTTTCCAGCCACATTTGCAGGTCATGGACGTGGAGGTGGTGGTTTCAGATGTTTGAGAGAATGAATTTTGATGCGGGGAAGTTAAAAACTCACTGGTCATGTCTCCTGGCAATTTAGTTTGGTTTAGGTCCTGCTTTAGGCATCTGGTTGGCTGCATTAAATGTGCCTTTGGTCCAATCCAGTAGACCAAACTGTTTTTATTTATCGTAATCTCCTTGGGTGATTTTAAAAGTACATTAGACAAATTAATGGAGGACAGGGCTACCATTGGCTACTAGTCATGATGACTATGCTCCACCTCCAATGTCTGAGGCTGCAAGCTTCTCAATACAGTGGTACCTCGGGTTACATGCGCTTCAGGTTACATACGCTTCAGGTTATACACTCCGCTAACCCAGAAATAGTGCTTCAGGTTAAGAACTTTGCTTCAGGATGAGAACAGAAATTGTGCTCCAGTGGCACGGCAGCAGCTGGAGGCCCCATTAGCTAAAGTGGTGCTTTAGGTTAAGCACAGTTTCAGGTTCAGAATGGACCTCCGGAACGAATTAAGTACTTACCCCGAGGTACCACTGTACTGGGAGTGGGGAGAAGGCTGTTGCACTCAGGTCTTGCTTTCAGGTTTCCCACTAGGACAGCGTATCTCAAACTGGGTCCCCAGTTGTTGTTGGACTACGACTCCCATCATCCCTAGCTAACAGGACCAGCGGTCAGGGATGATGGAGCCTGTAGTCCAACAACAGCTGGGGGCCCAAGTTTGAATAATAATAATTTTATTATTTATACCCCACCCATCTGGCTGGGTATAAAGCACTACTTTAGGGCATTTACTTGGCCACTGTGAGAACAAGATGCTGGACTAGATGGGCCTTTGATCTGATCTAGCAGGTGTTCTTCTTACGTTCAAAAGGAAACAGTACCAGGTGATGGCCACCTGCCTTGAATGGGCTTTAAACGAGAGTTGGGCAAATTCACTGAGGATATGGCTCTTGGGGGCTAAGTAGCCACAATGACTACGTTCCACCTTCATTGTTGGAGGTAGTATGTCCCTGAATGCCAGTTGCTTGAGATCGCAAATGGGGAAGAGATGTTGCACTCAGGACTTGCTTGTGGGGTTCGGGTTGGACACTGTGAGAACAAGATGCTATACTAAGATGGGTGGTGGCGGGTCTAAACCAGCAGAGCTGCTCTTTTAAAAGAATGCTTTGTAACAATTGCGAAAGGGTATTCTAGAGAGAATCCATTCCAGTCTGCCTTGCATGCAGAAGGTCTAGGAGTCTCTCCTCCACATTGCCAGGCATCTTGGAAAGCTGCTGCCAGTCAGTGTAGACAGTACTGGGCTAGATGGCTTCAAAGTCTGCATCAGCCAGCTTCCTTTTTTATGAGAGTAAAAAGGGGGGGGGGTGTAAGAAAGCACATGACTGTTTTTCTCCTACCATTAGATATGTATGATGTCAGCCACAGATGTTCTCCAATTGGCACACTGTTTTCTTAATTGACATCTTGCGTAATTTCCCCCGAGGAAAAAAATGTTTATGTTTGAAACAAGGCAGGATCTCTGGGAACCAGTTGGATAATAAATCTCCCTGATTTTGGCCTGCTTGAGCGAGACCACCTCTTTATGAGCAGTGTGATAAACTGAGACGTGGTCTTCCCCCGCAGGATGTCCGCCAGGGAGATATGGAGCCAACTGTCAGCTGAGCTGCACCTGCCAAAATAACATGACCTGCGACCCCGTGTCGGGAGCCTGCCGCTGCGGGAAAGGGCACTATGGAGACCTTTGCCAACACAGTAAGTGTGGTCACTCCTGTTGCTCCGGAAATTTATTGCAGGTTTGGTAACGATCTGACCAGGTGGGTCTAAGCCAAGCCTAAGGCCTGATGTATTGTATCAGAGCTGCTCTTGTCTCCAGAAATAGGGTGTGGCCGTAGCTCTGCGGCAGAGCAAGTGCAGATGGTCCCAATCCCCAGTGGCCTCTCCACCTGAAGTTTCAGCCAAGTCGGAAAAGCTAGTCGTGGTCTCAAACTACACTACAGGAGAAATTTCAGCTTGAACTTAGAAGCACTGGGGAGAAAGGGGTTGGTGATGCTGCCCTGGGAAATATTTGTGGATATCAATGCCCTCTGAAGTCCATCAGAGCAATGTTGCATCATCACATAGGGGTTTTGAGGAGGAGGAATCCCACCCTTAAATTTCACCCACTCCCATAAAAATCACCCTGTGTAGGACCACACTTTCACTGCCCAAAACTATGGTGGAAAAATGGTGGTATTTTTCCCCACCCGTTTATGTTGATAACGGCAATCTGAACATGTAAAATCGATGGACCTGAAGGTTGGTGAAGGGCAATACAACGAATCTAAATCCAAGGGCTGTTTAGTGCTCTTTGGCTAAGTGGGTTGCCAGCTGCAACAAGCCAAATGGAATCCCCGGTCCCCCAATATCTCTTGGTCCTCTTTTCATGTGGATGTTTTCAATTAGCTTCCCAATGGCTTTCCATTTCCCTTAGCCTGCCCAGCTGGTTTTCATGGAGTTGGTTGCCAGGAGCTGTGCGACTGTCAGAACGGAGCCACCTGTGACCCGACGACAGGGGAATGTGTGTGCCCCCCAGGTTTCTACGGCAACCAGTGTCAGAAAGGTATGGAACTTTCCGGAAAGGAAAAGTAGCTGCAGAGAGCAGGATTGAGTTCCTCTTGTGTCAGCTGATGTTGAGGGGGAATGGCAGACCTGTTTGGGCAGCATTTCTGCCCACCTGCATGGGGCAACTTTGACAGGACGTTGGGGGAAAACCCACCTGCCAAAGGTGGGCTGTGGGAGAGAGAAATATCTCGCCCACTTGGCCAAAAAGGTTCTCAACCCCTGCTATATATATACTATTTAGGAGGATAGTGGGCCATTCCACCCAGGTCTGAGCCATTCCATCTGTTTCTTTAACTGTCAGTGGGGTGGTACTCTCGTTTTAATTTTGATTTCCTTGACTTGAAGGAATGCTCTGGTTGAAAGGATATATTTCTCTTGCCTTATGGCTGTAACAGTGATGTGACAGAGATTTGGTTTGGTCTGCACTTTAGCACACTGTCTGAAGCAGTATTCAAATTGAAACTTGGGCTGTCCTTCGAAGTTTGTATGCCTCTGAATTTTGTAGTGCTCTTCTTCAACTAAGCAAGGTGCACAAAACTCTGTATTAGGAGAAAGTGTGTAAAGAAATGCGTGCATTAGTGAAAATGACATTGTATTAGGGGAAGCCGCTTGCAAAGATGTGTATGTTTGGGGAAATGTACGCTGAAATGTGAATTAATTTTTGTGAGATTACATCAGAGCCAGTAAAGTAAATAAATACATATACCCATAACACCATAACATTAGAACAAATTGAAAGCAGCGCAAGGTTGAACAGTATAATTAAAATTACTATTCAGAAACATTATGAAGGAAACCCATTTCCCCAAGAACCTATTAGGTTGGTTCTATTTAAAACATCTTCGGGGCGGGAGAGCAGACTGTAAAGCAGGAATTTCTTTAAAAATAAATAATTGCAAACTGCTGCAGAAATATGGAGAACTGAGCTTAATACTGAAAATATTAGAAACTGCGGAAAAAATACTAAAATGTTGAATGTAAGAGTTTATTTAATTTTGGTTTTGAAAATTCAATAAAAAGCTTTTTTAAAAAAAAGAAACGGGGGGGGGGGGATGAAACAGACCGATTTGCCTAGCCTTAGTAACAATGGATATCTCTTTTGTGGCCACAGTGTGCGACATGGGGACGTACGGAAACAAGTGTCAACATCAGTGTGACTGTGAGGGGAATGCTCCATGCGAGGCGACTAGCGGCCGCTGCCTCTGTCCTCCTGGGAAAACGGGTGCCAAGTGTGACGTGGGTGAGTGTGTGTTATCATCTTTACAAAGAAACAAGTCACACCTTGTCGAGGGCAGGAGTGGGCTGGCTTCCATATGGCTGGGCCAGCAATGCAAATAGGTCCTTTTCAGTTGCAGCAAGTCGGAAACTCTGAGCTGTCTGTTAGTCCTTCACACCTGAACACTTCGCTGCCTGCAGGTACACAGGTGCACTAGGCGATCCGATACCTGCTGGCCTCTAGGAGCTTTTTGTACCTGGAAATTTTCCCTGCAGCCCCAAAGTTATATTAATCAGCAGCTTGCAGGAGTAACGGGCTGCTTTGGCTGTTGCAGCAGTGCTCACTTTTTTGCACTAGGAAGAGTGTGAAGGTGGGGAACTTAGGAAGCCACCTGAGTCAGAGCATCGGGTCTTTCTAGCTCAGTAATGTCTGCACTGACTGGCAGTGGCACTCCAGAATTCCAGGCAGGAGCTTTGCCTGCATCTATCTGGAGCCACCAGGGATTGAACATGGGACCTTTTCTGCATGCAAAGCAGATCAGCTCTACCACTGAGCTATGGCCCTTCCCCTTTCGGTTGCTTTAAAGAAATTTCTCGTTCATCATTCATGAGGTTCTCAGAGAGGCAGTGCCTGCCCCACCCCCTAAAATTTCTTCCGTTTCTTTGGGACTGCACAGCTTTAGCTCTTCCTCTTTACCACTAGATGCTCCCAGGTTTAGTCTGTGTATCATCTGATGGAAACCTGTCAATCTTATGCTAAGGGGGTGGGAGCCAGATTTGGCAAGTGGGTCAAACCCAAGGGGGTCCTGGGTTCCTCACCTCTGCCATACAGGGCAGGACATTTTTATGTTTTAAATGCATGTGGCAGAATCTTCGCTCCCCCGGGTGAGATCCCTTCCTAGCATATTTCACTGTCTGTGATTTGACTTGTTCCTCTTGCTAACCCAGATTGCCCACTGAAGAAATTCGGCCCCGATTGTGCTCTGACGTGCCAGTGCTCCATGTCCAACGCTTACTGCAATGCCCAAAATGGCCGCTGCGTTTGCCTCAACGGTTACATAGGGGCGATGTGTCGTGAAGGTAAGAAATCCTGGATTTCTTTGAGTTTATCTATGTGCAGCAGCCTGCTTTGGCCTCCATCATTCACTGTTCAGCTGCTAGTAGGGAAATGACCTGCTTCCATAATACTGTTCCTCAACCAGGTGAGGAAATTGAGGGAAAATCTTTACAGCTGACAATGTGGGTTTGTTTGTTTTTTACTTTCAGTGTGATGTGTGTGAGATTATATATATATATAAGCACATGCTAGGGGAAAATGGCTGGTGTTTTTTGTAAGATACTAAAAGTATCATTGAGGCTTTGAAAGATTTAAGTCTGGCAAATACAGTGGTGCCTCGCAAGACGAACGCCTCGCAAAACGGAAAACTCGCAAGACGAAAGAGTTTTCCGTTTTTGAGTCGTTCCGCAAGACGAATTTCCCTATGGGCTTGCTTCGCAAGAAGAAAGCCCATAGGGGAATCTCCGGGGACCTCTTTTAAATGCTGGCGGTGGGGAGCAAAGCCTTTCGCCCCCCTCCGGCCTTCAGAAGAGGTCCAGGAAGGCCGGCGGGGGCCGAAAGGCTTTGCTCCCCACCGCCAGCATTTTAAAAGCGGTCCGGGATAGCAGGGAATTGCACTGCGCTTTCCCGCTATCCCGGACCGCTTTTAAAATGCTGGCCGTCGGGAGCAAAGACTTTCGCCCACCGCCGGCCTTCAGAAGAGGTCCTGGACAGCGGAGACTTCTCCGCTATCCCGGGGCGATCTTAAAATGCTGGCAGGCGGCAGCGAAGCCCTCCTGTCCCCGGAGCTTGCGGGGCCGGAGGTGGGGAGAAGGGCTTTTCTTCCCACCGCCAGCCTTCAGAACAGCCTTCTGAAGGCTGGCGGTGGGAAGAAAAGCCCTTGTCCCCCCCCCCCAGCCTTCAGAAGAGGTCGGGGGACAGACTGTCCCCGGACCTGGTCTGAAGGCGGTTTCCATAGGAACGCATTGATTGATTTTCAATGCATTCCTATGGGAAACCGTGCTTCGCAAGACGAAAAACTCGCAAGAAGAAAAAACTTGCGGAACGAATTAATTTCGTCTTGCGAGGCACCACTGTACAAAATGACATTAATTATATCCAAACATAGGTGAAAATGTGTTTCTTGATCTCAGGAACCGTCATGCAATATTTGCTTACAATAACTTAAGAGGTGTCCAAAATCATAGTGAACAAACAACTTTCCAAAATATATAGGAGAGCGATATATATAAAATCTCTCTCACACACACGTAAATATCCATGTTAGGTGGTCATATTCAAGGAGATCATTTCTTCACCAGCACCTGCAGAATAAAGTAGTCAAGTCCAAAAAAGGCTGCAGCACTTGTACTTTATACAAATCCATCTTGTGTATACATACAGAGAGACTGAGAAAATTTTGTGTAGGTATCTCTCTCTATATATAATAATTGTATTGGTCTGTCATTACACTGTAATGGTTGTCTGAGCACCTAGGGAGTGCAAAACACACATACTGAGCTGAGTTTTGAAAGCCAGCCCCTGTAGGAATCCACCTCAGACCCCAAATGGGAGAGGGAAGTGCTGCCATGAAATGCTAAGAGGCTTGCCCTCCCTCAATTTCCCTCTTGCTCACATAGTGGAAAAGGGCAGTGTGGTGTAGTGGTTAAGAGTGATGGACTCGTAATCTGGTAAACCGGGTTCTTGTCTCTGCTCCTCCACATGCAGCTGCTGGGTGACCTTGGGCTAGTCACACTTCTCTGAAGTCTCTCAGCCTCACTCACCTCACAGAGTGTTTGTTGTGGGGGAGGAAGGGAAAGGAGAATGTTAGCCGCTTTGAGACTCCTTAAAAGGGAGTGAAAGGTGGGATATCAAATCCAAACTCCCTTCTTCTTCTTCTTCTTCTTCTTCTTCTTCTTCTTCTTCTTCTTCTTCTCCTTCTCCTCCTCCTCCTCCCCCCCCTTGGTACCAGAGATAGAAAGAAAAATTGGTGGGTTTTGTGTGTGTGAGAGAAAGGAGGACTTTTTTTCCCAGGGAGATAGATCTGTGTGAAAATAAGAAAAAAAAATTTGGAGGGCACACCAAATGTTGTCATCGTTCAGGGTGCCATATCACCAAAGTCCCTCCCTCCCATTGTTCTTTTCATGGGAAGCTATGGGAGGGAAACTGAGGCAGGGAGATGGGGATGTTTGTGTCCCACACATAGGGGTGACACTGCTGAGAAGAGAAGAGTAGAACACCCCCACCGAGAGCCACTTTCCATCAGGGATGCTTTTCAGCCAAGACAAGTGATGAATCAAGGCAGTGAACCAAGGGAGAGCATTGTTGGTTTCTCCCAAATAACCTGTGATTAGTCCATCTTAACCCAGTGCTTTTTTTCCGGGGGTACTCAAGGATACACAGTACCAGCACCCTTTTTTTCTAGAAGAAAAGCACTGTCCAGTGCAGCGGTAGTCAACCTTTTTATACCTACCACCCACCAGTGCTTGATGGAAGGAGGATTCAGCTTGTGCCGTAGAACCCCCTACCGCCCACCTAGAATCCTGAAACGCCCACTAGTGGGCGGTAGGAACCAGGTTGACAACCCCTGGTCTAGTGTCTATAGGCTTAGCTATTCCTGGTTTTATTTGGGTGGGTGGAAATCAGGATCTCTGGTTCAAATGTAATACTTTGTGCTTTCTTACCACGGTCATGGAAGGAAGGAGCCAACTGGGAGTACTTAGGCTTCATCCCAGTAGGATTTTGGACCTCTAGGTCATGTCCACACTTATGAGTGTCGGACTAGGACCTGGGCTTAAATCCCCACTAGGCCACAGGGATGCACACCACCCTGAACTCCTTGCAAAAAAAAAAGAAAAAAAAAGGTGAGATAGAATTGTGATGAAATAAATTTGACAGATAGATGAAGGGACAGGACAAAACTAACACATCTTCACTTTCAGGTGGCCTACCACAGCTGCTAACCCACACGAGACGACAACCGGAACAATGTGAGTTGTTTTATATATAGATATATAGCTGGCTGATGTGGGGAGCAAGGGGCCCACCTAGCTCCATAGGGTCTACAATTCAGTGATGGCCAAACTCAGCCCTCCAGCTGTTTTGGGACTACAATTCCTATCATCCCTGTCCTGTTAGCTAGAGATCATGGGAGCTGTAGCCCCAAAACAGCTGGAGGGCCATGTTTGGCCATCACTGGTCTACATCAACCTTGGGTTCCCAGATGATGTTAGACTACAACACCCACCATCCCTGGCTAGAAGGGCCAGTGCTGAGGGATAATGGGAGTTGCAGTCCAACAGGATCTGAAGACCCCAAGAAAGGCCTGGGTGATGTAGTGATACATCACCCAGGACACGAGGGAAAGACTGCCGGGTGAAGCTGTCTGGTCCTCATTGTGCCAGCAGGCAGCTTTTTTAAATTGCTCCACTGAGGGGGTGGGCATGGCTGTCTGTGCCTCTGGGGAGCAATTTAACAAAAAGCCCACTGTCCAGGAGGCGGAGGCTTGATCAGCTGAACAGGCGGGCAGTTTAAGGAAGCCTGCTTCTTGGCTGATCAAGCCTCCACAGACCAGGTGGGGGCTTCATTCATCTGCTCGCTGAGGGGCAGGGGCAGCTGCACACCCCTCAGCAGAGCAGTATAAAGATGCCACCCACCTGTACAGTGCCTGAGGCCACCGTGCAAACAGAGTGTTCACACGGCTTACTCCCTGCCGCCTTCTCTCAGGAGAAAGAGGCTGCCCACCTGTGTGACGGCGGAGGGAACCCTGTGAATGAAGCTCAGCAGGTTCCATGGGCTTGGTCACCATTGGGCAGGCTGCGTCTTTCCTCCCCTGGGAGTAAAGATGCAGCGCACCTGCTTGGGCGAAAGCAGGCAGGTGTCTATGAGGGAGCACCCCTCCTGCTCGCCTCACTACAGTAGCTTGTTCCCTCCACCCGCTGGGTGCTGGGAACAAGCTGCATCAGCCCTGGCCTCCCACAAGCAAGCAAAGGGAGCGACCAGTCTCTTTCCTTCAAAGTGCCCAACTGGGAGGAAGGAAGACTGGTTGCACCTTCCTGCCCACCACCCTATCGTCTGTCTTGTGTGAGCCGGAGCAATATGATAAAGGGGCTTCCTCAGCCAAAGGGCTGGGCGCTGTATCTGGCTGCTTCTTCCTGCCCTAAGGTGGCAAGGAAGAAGCAGCCAGATACATTTCAGATATCGTGATGTGTTAGTATACTGCAGTATTTAGCTGCTGATATATCACGATGCTGAAAACCAAACACCGCCCAGCCCTAGTACCTGGGAATGTCAGGGATTGAACCTGGGATCCTCTGCTTCCATGGCAGGGAAAACCACTGAACTATATAGCCCTGTTGCTGAGGCCATGCCTCTAACACATTATAATTTTCCTCTTACAGCTGCACAGTCTCGGACTTTTTACCGGGCTTCCTCCAGGGTGGTTGCCCCATCTGTGAAGCACTAGTTTCTGGACTCATCACTTCCAGCGCAGACTTGGGCAGAAACTGCAAGGGTTGGCTGCCAAGTATGGAACTAGCTCACCTGATTCGTGACCCGCCAGTTTGCAGATCCGACCCCTCAAGAGCGCAACAAATCCTAGATTTTGCCCAGAGGAGCGGTCGTCCTGCACAGACTGAGTGAAAACAGCTCAAAACAAGCACATATCTGCTTCGAACCAACAAGGCAGTGTGGAAAACCTCCCCCCACTCCAATCCTCCATCTCCTCCACTCACAAAATCTGGAAACCATTTTTAAGCATAGCCATTTTGTCTCTGAGCTTCTGGACTTAAAAAGAGCAAAAGCTTGTAATTATGAGTTATTCTTGTTTGCCTGGAATTATTAATAGCAGGATTCTGTATTTATGTAAAGGTATTATTTATGGGCAGGTGTATCAAAAGTTGCATCTTCTCACTTGCTACACGAAAGGCCCTATGGGTCTGTGTAGCCCTGGAAAGTGTGGGAGACAGAGGGTGGAAGTGTGTTTGTTTGAAACACAACATCCCTGGCGCTTGAGATAGAATGATCTCAACAGTCCCCATATTAACTAGCCAAGAGCTTGAGAGTGGCAAGCTGCTGGGTGGTGGGGGGGGGGAGAGAGGATAGCCCCTTTTAACTCCCAGAAGGCCCCAGGTGCAAAAACATGGCACTACAAAGGTGCAGACTGTTTTGCTGCCTTTCCATTATCTGGCCTAAGGGATGTGTAGAAGAATCGTAGCCTGGCACCTCAGATGCACCAGCCAGCCTGAGATTATTTCACATAAAAAGTTTGTGGGGTTGCTTACTTTAGGTTGCCTTTTGCATATATACAAAGGAGCCATTAAGCCTGCAACCTAAAGCCTAAATACATCAGACTTGGGGACGGTTGTTTTAACTGCCTGGCTTTGCATAAGACGAATTGATGCCCATTGCTCCACCTTTAGCCAACCTGGTGCTCTCCTGCCGTTTTGGACTACAACACCCATCATCCCCCACCAATATATCATCAGAGAGAGATTGCAAGAAGCAGGGGCTTGTGAAATGCTATAGGAACATCTCTTCTGCTATGATCCTTGTTTTCCCATCATGGAAGAGGGGAAAGACCAAGGAACTTGTTCCGAGCAAGAGCTAAAAAGTTGTTAGATTAATTCATGCATGAGCCCTATGGTTGTTGGGCCTTTTTGTTAAGCGTGCTTTTTCCTCCTTGTTTTAGAGTCTTTTATAAGCTTTTTGCCTGGCCTTTCCCTATACAGCCATGAGGGAAAGTCACTTGATGTTTTTAAACAGAAACTTGGAACTCTGCCATATCTGAAACGTGCTTGGTGGCCCACAAACTTTCTGCTGCATCTCCGACAGCCTACATCGTATTTGCAATGAAGTACTTTTGTGAAGACTCAAAGCAATTTGGGAACCAAGACAGGATGAAAAGGGCGGGATTTTATCATCCTGCATGGCACCAGGAGGGGTCAGAACACCTAGGGAAGTCTTCCTTTTTAAAGTAGCGATGGCACAGAAATCGGTTAATCACAGGAGAGCAAAAACCAAACAATTCAGGAATTTCACCCCCAAACACACATCTTCACCATTTCCCTCAATCTTTATCTTGCAAAAGGTGAGGTAGGTTTGCAGCAAAGGCATCATCATCTTACCTTGAACATCCATTGCCAATCTGGAAAACAGAAGTTCCCAGCGCTTCCGATAAAGAACTCCACTGAGCCAGAAGACATGGAAAAACGCTCACTGCCCAAGCTCCTCTTTACAAGGGCTAAGTCTTGGGAAATAAAAAAGAGTCTCAGTTAAAAGCTGAGCTATTGTAGCAAAGAGACAGAGCGAAAGAACTCACCATCACCACTGAGATTTTTATCATGTGTCATGCATAAGAACTTGAACCCGGCTTTAGAAAGTAATCAGAAACTGTGGAGCTGTACAGTGTTTTATATGTGAAGGTTTTAGCTTTCATACTTGTGCTTGGGGACAACACATCAGAAACTTCCCCCAGCTAAAATTTAGTAGACAAGAGTTTTGCCTTTTCGGTTTAATGGAAGTTTTTATTTGCAAGATTAGTGCTCCTTTGTCCATAATGCCCTAGCCTGTTTTCAAAAGCACCACCTACCTGCTATCTACCCTCTTTGCTGTCCCCTCAAAGTTGTGTTTTACCCCCAAGCAGAGCCGTAGAAGTTAATGGACTTAAGTCAGTCATGCCTGTTACATTTACTTTGTGTTGGACTAAGACTGGAAACAATCCATGACCTCTGACTTACTCCTGCCATCGGTTTACAGATCTTTGGTTTTTTCCAGCTGCAGTACTGCAGAACGTTTTGCCATACGTCTGACAAAATTATAATGTTGTCACTTGCTTCTATTAAAATATATATTTATATTTATATACTGTATACACTTTATGCTATCCTCCGTGAAGGTGGCAGATTTTTGGCACACGGTATTATGTCCAACACACACACAAAAAAAATAATTTGGGGCCCCCCCCCCGCCCAAAATAACAATAATTACGTTGCATACACAGATGGCCTCTCTGTCCTCCCCAGTTCTAGAATACTGAATACCACCAACCTGAATGGCTCTAAAAGAGGATGAGACAAATTCACCAAAGGCAGGGCGACTGATGGCTACTAAGCTGCGGTCAGGGGCAGTGAATGCTTCTGCATACTAGCTGTTGCTGGAAACTACAGAAGGGGAGGTTGCACTTGCAAACTTCCCACAGGGATCTGGGTCGGCTACTGTGAGAACAAGAATCTGGACTGGATGGGCCGTCGGCCTGATCCTGCAGTCTCTTATGTTCTCATGTCATTGTCCACATCTTTATCAGGATAATTTTGACATACCTCCTCCCCATCATCAGATTTGGCCTTGAGCTGGTTTTAGCATTAAAAATCATCAAGTGCAAAGTGACACACACACACACACTTATGCACATCTACTCAGTAATAATAATAATAATAATTTATTATTTCTACAGCCACTCTGTAGCCATTTATTATTTCCCCAGCCACTCTGGGCGGCTTCCAACAAAAGCTTTAAAATGCATTAAAACATCAGTCATAAAAAACTTCCCTAAAGAGGACTGCCTTCAGATGTCTTCTAAATGTCATAGTTGTTTATTTCTTCGACATCTGATGGGAGGGCGTTCCACAGGGGGGGCGCCACTACCGAGAAGGCCCTCTGCCTGGTTCCCTTTAACCTCACTTCTCACAGTGAGGGAACCGCCAGAAGGCCCTCGGCACTGGACCTCAGTGTCCGGGTATACAGTGTCCAGGTATACTCAGAAGGCAGCCCTGCAGAATTCAGTGGACCTTACTTCAGGGGATAGGAATGCAGCCTAAGAAACTGAACCTGCACAGCAGGATGTCCCTGTGGCAAATACTGCATGTGCCGCAAGTTTGCTGGGTAGCATTAAGGAAGCTGTTCTCTCAGCTTCAGTCTGCTCCCCGCCCTGCAATAATCTGCAATATGGGGGGGGGGGTCATGGTAATACTGACTTACCTTACAGGGTGCTTGCGAAGACTGCATTCGGGGCCTGCATACAAACTGCTCTGAATACTTGACAGTGCTATACAGATGTTTCAATAATATTTTTAAAAAGAAACAACTATGTTAGATCATTTTTAAAAAAACAGTCAGCAAGGTTTTTAAAAACACATTTTAGAAGCTAGCAAAAATAAAGTTCTGTCCTGGTGCTTAAATTTAGGAGCTTTAGGGCATTTCCCCATAGTGCACACACACACAGCTTCTTAAAGGTAAAAGGTACCCCTGCCCGTACAGGCCAGTCTTGACAGACTCTAGGGTTGTGCGCCCATCTCACTCAAGAGGCCGGGGGCCAGCGCTGTCCGGAGACACTTCCGGGTCACGTGGCCAGCGTGACATCGCTGCTCTGGCGAGCCAGAGTCGCACACGCAAACACCGTTTACCTTCCCGCTAGTAAGCGGTCCCTATTTATCTACTGGCACCCAGGAGTGCTTTCGAACTGCTAGGTTGGCAGGCGCTGGGACCGAACAACGGGAGCGCACCCCGCCGCGGGATTAGAACCGCCGACCTTTCGATCGGCAAGCTCTAGGCGCTGAGGCTTTTACCCACAGCGCCACCCGCGTCCCGCCACACAGCTTCTTACAACAGATTATTTGCAGATTTATGAACCGCTTCCCAACCGTACATCCCGACAGCTAATTACAAATAAGATGTGAGAAAGAATCTCAAGTCAGCTAAGCCCATTTGCACAACTGTACGGAATGGACAGCGAAATGGGCTGTCTCAAGCTGAGGATCTCTTCTTTGCTAGAGGTTTTTCAACAGAGGTTGGATGGCCACCTGTCAGGGGTTATTTAGCTATGGTGACTGCACTCAATTGCACTGGGTTGGACTCGATGACCCTTGGAATCCCTTCCAACTCTTATGATTATGGTAGTATTTTCCCACAAAGTGACTGAGCCACACTTTAGGGAAAACCTCCTTGAAACAAAAACTGCAGGACAAACTACATAAGAAATGCCACTTTAGTTTCAAATTTGCTGTATGTGAAATCTAACCAAGGAGGCACTCAGACAGCATTTTGTTCCATTTCCTTACCTGAGCCTTTTCACATCTTGTGTGTTCTTTCACGTGGCATAAAGGCCACTTTTGGAAAGTTTAGCGCTCACTTCTGTGTTAATTGCTCCCACAAAATATCCGTTTGCAACTCTGTCAACCTGGAAAATGGCAATAGTTTTTTGCGCTGTAATTTCCTGCAGTAGAAAAAGAATATTAGGAACAGAAACAGAAATGTCATTGTTATCGCCAATACAATCCACACCACATCTCAATGCACCCCAGGTCTGAAAACTCCTTGGGTACCCTACCCCTTAAAGCAAAAGCTTCAGATCCTGGGTTGAAGTAGGAAGGCTCAGTGGTGAGAGCACCTGCTTGGCTTGCAGAAGGTCCCAGGTCAGTCCCCAACATCTCTGGGCAGGGCTGGGAGAGAGATACCTTCCTGAAACTGCAGAGAGCTGCTGCCAGTCAGGGTAGACAATACTGAGCTAGATGGACCAATGGTCTTCCTGTGTAGAAATGACAAACCCTCCGCACCTCGTTCCAAATCATACAAGAGTTTAATCAGCTTAAATAGATATACAGCAAGACGCACCACTCATTTTCTAAAACTACCCTCCAAGCTCACAGGAACTGCAGGAAACAGGGTTACTATAGCAATGCAATTTGTCCCAATCAAAACCACTCTGGTCCACTTGCTAGACTCATGCAGATCCAGAATGTGCAAGATAATTACAGTGGTCAGACACAGGAAAACAAGCTACTTGGAGGGGGTGTTAACGATGAAGTCTAAAAACAGAGTTACACATACTGTATAAAAGGCAGGTGCACTTATTAAAATGCCCCGAACAAAAATGATTTTAAAACCAGTACACCCAAGAGTTAGCATTAGACATTAAACCCAGATTCATTGTAGCCCATAAACTAGACATACGTCAAAAGGCAGCCAAGATAAATAAGGCTGCAAGCCCATCATGCACACTTACCTAAAAGTAAGCCCCACTGGACTCAGCGGAGCTTGCTTTTGGGCAAGACATGTTTAGGGTTGCACTGTAAAGGTCACGCTGGAAACCACCATGCTAAAAAGAATAAAATGGTGCCAGCGCAATGTATTCAGACTAGGAGGAGTCCATTCAAAAGTTTTCAAAGGCATTGTGCTTCCAACTATAAGAATCGCACAGCACTACTGAAGTGCAATGGCTTAATGGCTCATGAACATATATTGGATTCGCCACATCTGTGCAAATTGGCAAAGGAGGGTGGAGGGAGGTGTAAGGCTCTGCAAACATCGAACTGATTGCACAGGAATGTGTCCTTGTTGCTGCGGGTTTGGGGGTGGGGGCAGGAAATTGCAAAATTAAAAGCCAGCTTCTATAATTGGTCGGTCACATAACCCCATTTTCCCTGAGAATTGCTGCTTCCACAATACACACACACAAACACACCACGATGAGATGCTGACATGAATCTGGACAGAACGTTATCTGTACATCATCTGAACAACTAACAACAGACCACAGAAGATAACACCCAAGGAGGGCCTTTAGGGCAGGGGCGAAGAACGCCAGCGAAACACCATCTTCAGACAACCAGGTGAACAACTGTGTCCTTTTGTGGAGGGGGAGGGAAGCGGGGAGATGCCTCAACCCATGTGGTCCCCCAACAAAGGTGCGTCCATTGTGCGGCACGGCTGGAAGGTCATTCATCTCTTTGGACGGCGGCTACCTTACAAGGTAAGGCAAGAGCTCACTTCCGACCCAGGAGGGACATTGAGAGGCAGTCAGCAACCCAGGTCTGTCTCCCCAGGCCCTACTGCTGGCTTTGTGCCCCAAGTGCTCCAGCGGACTAATGTTCGACATGCTCCAGCATTCACACATCTGTCTCTATGCGCAACCGTTCCATGCGCTGAACATTGCGCTCCACGGCGCTGCGGTTGGTGATCTCCTGGGCACAGGTTTGCGGGAACCAGCCCTTCTCGCCGTCACGCAGACGCTCACCTAAGTACCAGCCTGGAAGGAGGAGAGAGAAGGGGCATTTGATCCACTGCTTCTAGCCTGGGGTCGCATTCATTATTGCCTCCACTTCAAAAAGAGCAAAGTTAAGCTAAAACATTCAGTTGCAGCTTCTGCAAACATAAACACAAGCTTTTAATTTTCCATATAGGCTACAAAACTTTTTTTTTTTTAAATCATCCCTATATTCTACTAAAAGGTCAAACTGCAATTAAGAGTGCTTATTAGATGAGCTGGACAGGTGCGTTTCAACATTTCGGCAGCCAAACATTTGCAATCCTAGGCCTTGGTATAAAAAACATCATTAACTGGAGTAGTTCTAAGACTTCCCAATGCAATATATTTATAACTCTTGTAGTACAAACATGATTATTTTAAAAAATCATTAAGAAGCCATACATCAGCGTAACTGTACACACTTGCAATTTTCAAAAATCTAGTGTGCTGTATATAGGATATGGAGGCTATCATTCATGGTTTCCTAAACTCAGTGTTTCTGAAGTGGCATTTTGTTAAGAGAGAAGAACTTTTTTTCTGTTTATAATATTCACTGCACAGGTGGTGACAATTTCTCTCTCTCTTCAAGTCCTGAGGGCCACATTCCCTCATTAGTAATCTTCCAGGGGCCAGCAGCTGGCAGGGCCAGAGGCAACAAATGGGCTTTAGATTCCAGCTATTAAAAAGCCAGAGATCTCTACACCCATCCAGGCAAACATCACAGTTGAAGGACATGTTTCAGCTGAGCAAAAACACTTGAGAAGAGTGTGGAGTAGGGTCTGGGGAGGTTCCTCACATACACACCCCACAATCACACCTACAAACTGGGCATAAAGCCCTGGCAGATCCTACTCCAGGTCCTCTCAAACTGGGCCCATAAATCTACCTCTGGAAACCAAACTCTTTCCAAAGCACACTTACCTTCCTCCCTGGTCAGGACTAGGACAACATCGCCTTGCTGGAGGGAAATCTCATCTGTCTGCTTGGCCAAGTAAGCCCGTACAATCTCCACCTGCTTGAGATCTTGGAGAAACAGAGGGACACAGAGTGGCAGCATGGAGACAAAAGGGGCAAAGAGAGAGAGAGAAGAAGAAAAAGAGCAATGCAAGCATTCCTTTCTTCCTCCTATTCTTTTAGAAAAACCTTTTAATGATAAGAATATAAGTGGGAGCTGCAAAGAAAAATAAATGCTGCAGCATGCACTCATGTCCTAGTAGAACTTCTCTCGTTCTCTCGTTCTAGGCTCTTGCCAGTCATGCCCTTCCCAAAGATACTACAAGGCACAGGTGCCTATATCTGGCTAGCAGATTATTTCCCCACGTCTGCCAGGCCAAAGCACACCATCACCTGATGTCACAGTGTCATTTAGTGGAAGATGGGTGGGACTGCCCACCTGTCACTCACCCAACAACGTGATGACATCAGGTGATGCTTTGCTTTGAAGCCCCGATAGTCAGGACTTCAAAGCACAGTGCAAACAACCTTGTGCTGCTCTTTGAACCTCTGAGAAGTGGAGGTTCAAGGAGCGACCCCGGGAGGGAGGAGCAGTCTTCATTCAGTGGAAACTGCTACCTTTTCCTGGAGTAAGGCATGCTCCCACTGCCAATATTATTAAAGTATTATTATTTTATGCACTGTGACTTGCCGTTGTTTTATTGATTATAGTTTATAAATTATTTATTATAACTGTTAATATGCTGATATTTAATATGATTCTATACCATTCTAATGGATTGTTGAAAATTACTTTATTTGATATAAGTTGCTTATTTTAAAGTTGTGTTCTCTTATCATATTTTTGTATTGGATTAGATTGTTATAAGGTGCACATTCTTTGTTTCTTCAGCTTGTAAACCGCCTTGGGTATTGTAAAATAGAAATACGGTATACAAATTAAAAGTGAAATGAAAATCAGTCATTGGGTGGTTGGGAATGTGCCATTCTCCAGCAAAGGAACAATCAAGAGAGCTCATTTTAAGATGATTGTTCCTTCAGAGGCCTGCACTTACCTGACGTCAAGTGCAGGACAGGTGGGACTTGAGAGCCTTGGCCCATAAACCTGAGATTCCCCACTCCTAGTCTAAGGAGCTGAAGTAGGGCAAAACCCACATCAACTTCCTGTTTTCCTTTCTCTGCTCAACGGGCAACATTCAGTGGCTGTTCACAATGCTCAATCCTCATTGGACCTTTCTTTTAAGAGTGTGTGTTTGCCCTCTGGTAAACCTTCAGATTATTCCAAGCTCTGCCAATACCTCCCCTTGCATCTCTCAGTGGCTCCATTTTTGTTGGCATGGGCCACCTGCGCTTGTTATTAGAGGAGCATCAAATGTGTGGGGATTGAACCTGGGGATTGATGCCTGCAAGGCAAGCTCACCCAGCTCTCGAGTTGTGGGGGTCCTTTTTCATCCGGTTGAAATGCAATGGACCAAAGAAACATGGGAAATATTGGGCAAAGATATAGGGAATGCTTCTGTCAAAGTCCCCCTCTCTTCCTTTCCAACCACACAATTTTCAGTTTGGCAGGCAAAAGACTTTTGAGAACGATAGTTATTCCCACACTGCATTAACATTCAGCTTCTGGCTGACTTCTGGGGAAGTGGCTAGCCTGCCCTGTAGAGATTTGGGGAAGCTGGTCAAGCAGGGAGATGTTGAGACATTAGTGAATCAATTACATAAGGAGACTCCAGCTGCTGGATCAGGCCTAATGGCTCATTTAGTCTAGCATCCTGTTCTCACAGTGGCCAAACAGATGCTTTTTATGGGAAGCCTACAACCAGGACCTGAGTGAAACAGCAACTCTCCCTGCCTGCGAGTCACAGCGACTGGTATTCAGAAGATACTGCCTTAAATAGTGGAGGGAGAACACGGCTTTTGAGTTTAGATCTATAGATTGTATTGACAGGAATTTAAAAGCAACTTGCTTTCTATTTTGATGCCATGGTTTTTGTTTTCTGTTTTGAGGCTATGCCATGGTTTCATTATACAGTGGTACCTCGGGTTAAGAACTTAATTCGTTCTGGAGGTCCGTTCTTAACCTGAAACTGTTCTTAACCTGAAGCACCACTTTAGCTAATGGGGCCTCCTGCTGCTGTCGCGCTGCCGGACCACAATTTCTGTTCTCATCCTGAAGCAGTGGCGTAGCGTGGGTTGTCAAGCACCCGGGGCAAGGCACAGCACTGCAGTGAGAGAGAGTGAGTGAGCCAGGTAGGGGCAGAGAGCTGCGAGTGCGAGCGTGCCCCCCCCCCCCCGATGTTGCGCCCGGGCCGGCCCTCCCTGCACCCCCCACGCTACGCCACTGTCCTGAAGCAAAGTTCTTAATCCGAGGTACTATTTCTGGGTTAGCGGAGTCTGTAACCTGAAGCGTATGTAACCTGAAGTGTATGTAACCCGAGATACCA